CAGATATATGTAGATGAGATTTATACTTAAGGCTGATTAGCTCCGCCTCCTCCCAATTCTTTTACTAGCCCCCCTCTGTACCCCCCCCCCCCATGCAATAACTATGACACTTAGATGTACATTATTTACCAGAAATGCTTGATATAAACTATAATCAAATAAGTCTAGTGTAAATGTATCTCAAAAGTCAAGTTAAACTCTGTTTTTATAGAGTATAGCAATCATCTACTATTATGGGGGCGACGCCCACTTTTGATCACTCATGTAATTGTATGTTCTTTGACACTAACCAATCATGTAAATTGCAATATCCTTTATATTTAAACAAATGTTTGAACTGTAGTGGTTATTTTGAGTGTGCTAAAATGTGCTGATATGTATTGATTCGAAAAATAATCCATATTCTACATGATGTACATGTTCAGGTTTTGCAAAATTAAGGATATTTTGAACGAAAATTGTGGTTTCCATGACAACCATGAGTGACAGAGCATTGGAATTTTACATACTACCTCAGCATGATCCAATCAACTCCCCATAAAATTATTATGATGATTGAAGACCAACTGAAGGATTTATTCACTGATGATAAAGTACCCCCTGTAATTTTCCATTTTAGGGTCGAAAACGCCAATTTGACAACTTTCGCCCCGGATACGGCGCGTCAGACAAACATTTTCTGAAGTATCACATAAAAATACATAAGAAACAAGTAATTTCAATTTGTTCACGAACTAATACATTTTTGGGTGCTAGCTTACTACCTAATTATTATGTACTCTATTTTCAACATTTAATGATGACAGCTTCGTATATGCATTTCTATTGCATTTGGCCATTCAAACCCCTATAAGACCTGGTAGCAGGGAAGATAAAGGGTACTTTTGACTGCTCACATGATGTAATTAACTGGTCATTTGTACTTTTCATCTTCCCTGGTAGCAAGGATTTAGGTTTTCGAGGAAATTAGTAATTCTATTTCATATCATGTGGCCATGAATAATCCAATGAGCATCCATAATACAAAGAGTAATTGAGGGCATATAATTTGAATATGCATGGGATTACATGTACACATACTGTATCATTTTATTTTTTTGATCTACTTGTAATAGTTCTAAAATTAAAACATGAAAGGCCAGGCATGCAAACTGGCATGGTATTGTGTTACAAAACATTATTTCATTCTAGATACAATAACATGCATATTGGCATACTTCGTTTTAATATAAGATTGTTATAACTCCAAGTTTTGCAAGTCACATGACCAATTCTTAGAGAGTTGATTGGTTGAAACAGTTGATATCAGATATGACAATTTGAAATTAGAAATAAGCTGTTTGTCTGGAGATGGTACAATTTCACACTGAATTCTAGCTTAATGAGAGGGAATTGAGATGGGGCATGTATCTGAGATGAAAGCCTGTGTTTCAAATAGTAAAATTCCACGTCTATCTCAATTTTTTTGAAAATGGCAGTTAGTACAAAGTTATTCTCACGCGACGATGTATATTAAAAATTTCAAATTTATGGGAACTTCTGTTTAAAAGGTAGTTCCCAGGGGTCCAACAGTAAAAAAATCCTGTGGCCTAGCATAAAACACGACATGAGGTTTTTTCTTGATTGAATTTGATAATGAACATAAACCTTAATTTTCTTTATTGTCATCCTAAAAAATTCACCATATTATTTTTACTTTACACTGATCTTTAACTTGCATAATCAATAAATTTCGATAAAATCCTTCTTCTGTAATTATCAAAGTTTGCAAAATGCATTTTAGAATTAAAAAGGTGCAAGATTAAAGAAAATATCAAAATAACAGTTTTTGAAAAAGTGTATCGTATCTGTATAGCTCATCCTTTTAACAAACTGAATTAACCCAGATTTCACTTGTCTCTTATATTCATGAATTTCTAATTTCAACATTCTATGAATATTGTATTGCCTTAATACTGATACACGTCATTCTCCGCCGAGTGGGAATTAATTTATGTTGCTTTTTATGTAGATCATAATGATGAACATGTTCGTGTAATTGTCATGATCATGTATAATAAAAGTCACAATACAAATCACAAATCCAATTTACACAAAAAAATTGTTTCAAAATGTGTAGAAATGATCTCCGTCGTCTAATTTTACTGAGTTAAGCATCTAAGGTTGTATAGTTATGTAGTAAAATGTCAAAAGGTGGCAAAAATGAAAAATTCTCTGGTTTCAACCAATTTTAGAGCCTGGGATTCAAGAGGTTAATGAACTGGTTCATATATTTCATAACTTATGTGGATATTTACACACAAGAATAAATACTAGTTCAAAATTAAAGTATGCAATTAAATGGAATTGAAATGGAATTTCCCCAAATTTTTCAACTTTTTGCGGAAGTGGATAACTACTTTATAGCTCAAGTTGTTATATGTCATTAGATATAAAATAGTATGACTGATCCTTATTACCTATCTATTTTTTTATTAGGGTGCTCACATTTTTGTCTATTAAGTTTCATTAACAAAATTTTCTCCAGGAAATCAAATTCATTATTTCATGAATTCTGTCTAAAAATAGTGTTTTATGTCCTTTTATCGATTCTGAGATCATTCTATTCAATTCATCGATTGTATATGTGATTCATGACGTCATTGCTATAACAAGCCTTAGATTGGGAAATACTTAACGGCACTAAGTGCCAATTATAGTGCGGAACATGTTTTGATATCATTAGTTACTTCCTTTTACTGTAGAATATTTCATTTTCACTGACACTTTTGGTGTTTTGGAATTTGCAAGCATTTAGCTTGGTTCTCCATTTTAATTTACAGTAATGGATATTTTCATGTTACTTAAGTTTCATTGTTTTGTTTCAAGGTATCAAAGTTAGTTTCATTGTTCCAAGTGAAAAGCCGTAGTGAACCTAACCCCTTGTACAGTATTTGCATATTATTCCCGAATAGTTGCACATTTTCCCCTATTATATACCCCACATTATTAATACCATTTGTTTTCTTAAGTTCTTGTTAATCCTTGATGTCTTGCACAGATTGTGGTCTAAGTTGTGCTCTAGGTTTTGCTATTCAAAACGTTATCATTCATCCCACAGTTGAGGTCAAAATTGTACAATAACCTCCAATTATTTTTATGATTTTCAAACAATTGGAAAAAAGTGATATCTAGTACTATTTATTAATGGAAATCTTTCAGGTATCACTTTTCTCAGATTTGAAATCTCCATGCAGACACTGTGATATGAATATTAGTAAAAATATACAAGGCATTAACATGAAAAATGTCACCCTCTGCCATTTGTTACAGATGCCAAATGCAGAATACCAAACACTAACTAACAAACACCAACCCTGGAACATAGCCATCCACAAAAAATATAATATATAAAATATTTACAAAGTATCACAAATTCTGATGATGTGTTCTTGTAATTTTAGTGAGCTAAGATTTAATGGATTAAAATGAACCACAGGTTTTACATAGTGAATCTCTTGAGATTATCTCTATTATAGCTCTTTTAAAAACTAATCGTTTCTTCAAAATCCTCATTTCATTGAATGCATTGATTACACAGCCACTTCGTGAGCATACTAACTGCCAACTACTATAGCTCATTTTAACACATTGGCAATACCTCCTTCTAGTGCTTATCAGTTACTTGAGAATTCCTCTCATTTGTAAGTTTGGGTAATAAACTAAACCGTATATTATTTTTTTGTAGGAATTGGATCATTGGGAGTATTAATGCGTCCAGTCGATATTACCAGTCTCTATGGTCCAATATCAGCTGGCAGTAGAATAATTAAAGAAATAATCAATGTGGATGCATATCGCATCTTCGATTATATCCTCATTTATTGTTCATCTATTATAGCATAATTCTTGTGTGCTTTGAAGTGCCTTGGATTTCATTTTCCATCAAAACAACTTTACAACAAAACTGAGAAAAGGGAAAGTTACTTTTGATATTTAAGTCATGGTGTGTTCATTTAATACTGTTGTAGTTGTTTGTTTGTTTGGATTGTTTAGGTGATATCATATGATGATGCCTCACTTGCCACATCGACTACATGTACATATCCCATTGTCTCCTGATGAAGAAGACTAAATTCCATCCCCTCTCCGTTTACCTATAGTCTTTTTACATAAGTATGGCCCCATTATATTATCCCTAGTTAAGACTATATACTGTAAATGTAAAACAATTTATTACAGTACCCCAAGTGAATGGACCTCTACAGAAACACTACCAATACAGGCTGCGTGGGAGTTTATATATACTGTAAATGTAAAACAATATATTACAGTACCCCAAGTGAGTGGACCTCTATAGAAACACTACCTATACAGTTACATGAGAGAATAGCCTGTATGGCAGTCTATATGCTGTAAATGTAAAACATATTTAATAAATTACAGTGCCCCAAGTGAGTGGACCTCTACAGAAGCACTACCTGTACAGTTACATGAGAGAACAGCCTGTGTGGGAGTCTATATAATGCTGTTAATGTAAAACATATTTAACTTATTACAGTACCCCAAGTGAGTGGACCTCTACAGAAGCACTACCTGTACAGTTACATGAGAGAACAGCCTGTGTGGGAGTCTATATAATGCTGTTAATGTAAAACATATTTAACTTATTACAGTACCCCAAGTGAGTGGACCTCTACAGAAGCACTACCTGTACAGTTACATGAGAGAACAGCCTGTGTGGGAGTCTATATAATGCTGTTAATGTAAAACATATTTAACTTATTACAGTACCCCAAGTGAGTGGACCTCTACAGAAGCACTACCTGTACAGTTACATGAGAGAACAGCCTGTGTGGGAGTCTATATAATGCTGTTAATGTAAAACATATTTAACTTATTACAGTACCCCAAGTGAGTGGACCTCTACAGAAGCACTACCTGTACAGTTACATGAGAGAACAGCCTGTGTGGGAGTCTATATAATGCTGTTAATGTAAAACATATTTAACTTATTACAGTACCCCAAGTGAGTGGACCTCTACAGAAGCACTACCTATACAGTTACATGAGAGAACAGCCTGTGTGGCAATCCCTAAGGTTCTGGAACGCTGCATTCTTTGATGCTGTGCAACAGGAAAGGATGCAAAAGCCAGTCTGCACAAGGTATAGAGTTTAACAATAGATTTTAATCATACTGCGAACCCCTGAATTATTTCAAACTGGACAATCTTTTCGTCATGTAACTACTTTGGCACTTGGGCTCTTTTCGCTGTTCAGAGAAGTTAACTGCAATGCCTAATATAAAATTACTGGCATTTTACTTCTTTCAAAACAAACATTTTCAATTTCTTCTTACTATCTATATTTACCATTTGTTTATATGTTATGCTGTGAATAATAACTAACTAAATATATGTGAATTTATATATGAATTGTTCTCAATGTTTTCAGTGAAGATGAGTTGGAGGCAAAACAAGGAGATAAAGAATTCTCAGAAAACATAACATTTGGCCAACTGGGGTTAGTATTAGTTAAAGCATATGCTTTATCATGTGTATGTTTTAATCTGTTTAATCTAAAATACTTGATTTTCTTGTTATAAGGCTATGTATGTTAAATGAAAGTAAGCCAAAAATCCTTGAAAGATTTTCCCTCAAGATAAAGGTCCATGTATTTTCTCTAAAAGGCCTAGGCCTACTTGGCATTTAGATTTAATTTAAATATTTTAAAGAATAATTTGTGATGTGAATAATTTTTTTTCATTATTTTTATGTGTTACATTACAGGACATTTACCTGTAACATGAGGGCTCTTGGACTGAGTAAGGAGCTGTGTCTAGGATTCCTTAGAAAGCAAGCAGAGATAGCTAACCTCAGTAAAGGTACCAATCACTACATTCATTGCTAACTTGTTTAAATGTGTTTATTATTGTTGATTCAGTATTTATAATATGACCAAATATGGAAATCATTCTTTCAATTCATTCTCACTTTTAGTTTGTCAATCCTACAGTTCTGATGACTTTCCTAAAAGAAGCATTGACATAATGCTATAGCTTCCATTTTTTGTTACCAGCTTCCTGTATAGGGTCGGCAATCAGCATCTGTATAAACTACCACACTGTTGGAGCTATTTTACAATAACTTTGCGGTGGAGACATTTTGTCATATTAATACCTTTTTAAGTGACATTCTGTGTGTAGCATCACAAATATCATTAACAAGTTCGCTTATTTATGTCACATTATTACATATGTCACATTATTATTTAATTATGTCGCATTAATTATTTCAGAACAAATTCAGATGCTTCGAGACAATGTAGAAAAGAGAAAGTATTAACACCAAATAGATGATCTACATTAATATGTTGACATAGCAACTGGAACCATGACAAAGATAATGTTACCATAGAGACAGAAAACAACCCAGTCACACAGATAAATAGTGGTCTGGTAATTTGTATGAAAACTTAGTTAAACATGAAATGCCATAAAGCTGGAGCTTTAGTATATAGGATTAGATGCAAATAGCAAAATTAAATTAGACATTGTTATTATGTATCATTGCATGGAGAGCCTATATAATCCACAATTAGTGAATCAAAGTGGAGTGCAATGAAATTCACTGTAGACTATGCATTGGAGTATTGCAATGGAAATACTTTGCCTCTTGTAATATGAGGCTCAGTAGATGGTGAAATGATTAAGAGAGTAAAATAGACCCATATTTGAAACATGCTGCACATAAATGCCCATATAAGGAAATAAATGAAGGAAATGAGTGAAGGAAACACAATGAAACAAAACAAATGAACACAGGAGATATGAGAAATTAGTCTGGAGGATATGGAGAATATTCCCAGGGATATGGGGAATACCCTATTCCATCATGATGTAGGATATGGGTAATTTTTCCAGTGATATGGGAATACCATATTTCATGGTAGATTATTCCTAGGGATATTTTGAATATTATTCACTGTCTGTACGTATTTACAAATATTTGTAAATAATTAGATTAATGAATTGAATGGAGTGTGCATAGTTTTAGTATGAGGTATGTGTCAAGTATGCTTCAGCATTCTCATATAATGATAGATCTTATCATCAAGAGCAATCTACAAGCTAAGGATAAGTTGCAAGATTGTATAGTTATATCATTGCAACAAGTTGTAGTAGATAAGTCAATATGTAGTTGAAAACGTATTCATGGTGTATATGGGTGCAAAGATTGCCCCAAGTGCTGTACGTATGATTGAAGAAATTCATAGTGTTATAGAACTAATGTGCAATATATAGTGTAAAATAGTAATATTTACTGTCATGATCCTGACATATTTGTTTAAAGCAGTGTAGATATTTGTGCAATATATGCTGTAATATAGGACTATAGTCACTTTACACTGTCAGCCTATACACTTGTTAGGCAGCTAGCGTATACTTTTGTGCAATGTACCATTATATCAATGTTATAAATAGACTGAATGTTGGATATTGTACATAATGCAGTTCTGTAGATGGCTGTTCACCATAAGGTATTTGCTGTAGATAGGTGTACACTAGGGGTCCCGCGATTCATCGATATATCGATGCATCGGCTCGTTTGGTGACGATACGAGCGTATCGTTACGAAGACTCAAATATCGATACACCAAAAATATTATTAACATACCTGAAATCCATCATATTTTGCCGAAATCTACTGAATATTTGACTTTTTTGAGAAATTGTTTTTATATTTTTTGTTTGGTTTCTCACTGGAAATGACAAGCCCAAAATGTTGTATAAATGCGAACAGAATGCTTAGCAGATTGACAGTCAAAATGCGAACAAATAACTTGTGTCTTCTATGTCTTCGTATATCAACGTACTTTGTTTTATAATTCTATATACTTTTTGACAATTTAGTATGAATAAATATAATCTTTGAACTTTTTATTAGATAGAACGCTTTAAAAAATTGCCTCCTATTACTGATAACTCGAATAAAAAACCGAACAATATTTACGTTCGGAGTATTAATGTTGACCGGAGGTTACGAATTGAAACTTTTTGAAAGTTTTGAACACAATTGATAGAATTATGGCTGTGTAAGCATCAAACATGGGTAGTTGTGATATCCTAATATCCCCCAATAGAAAATCTACTGTAGTACTTTGGAACATTCCTCAGTAAAGGGAAAGCACAGCCGGATTTCAAAAAATTGCAAAATATGCATAGAGCTGACTACTATACAGCAGGTAGGCTTGATACTAATGCTGCATCTGAATCAAAATTCCAGCAAGTGATAGACTTTCAACTCGACCTTAGCTACGTCCGTGTTGCACCCCCTCCCCCTCCCCCTGTTCGACTACACTATTATGTATAGTATTGTTGCTCGTATCGTGACCTGAGTATCGAGATACGTATCGTATCGTTTCATAATGTATCGTGGGACCCCTAGTGTACACCATAAGGTATTTGCTGGAGATAGGTGTTCACCTTAAGGCATTTGCTGTAGATAGGTGTTCACCATAAGGTATTTGCTGTAGATAGGTGTTCACCTTAAGGCATTTGCTGTAGATAGGTGTTCACCTTAAGGTCTTCGCTGTAGATAGGTGTTCACCTTAAGGCATTTGCTGTAGATAGGTGTTCACCTTAAGGTCTTCGCTGTAGATAGGTGTTCACCTTAAGGCATTTGCTGTAGATAGGTGTTCACCTTAAGGTATTCGCTGTAGATAGGTGTTCACCTTAAGGTATTCGCTGTAGATAGGTGTTCACCATAAGGTATTTGCTGTAGATAGGTGTTCACCTTAAAGCATTTGCTGTAGATAGGTGTTCACCTTAAGGTATTCACTGTAGATAGGTGTTCACCTTAAGGTTTTCGCTGTAGATAGGTGTTCACCATAATGTGTTTGCTGTAGATAGGTGTTCACCATAAGTTATTTGCTGTAAATATAGGTGTTCACTATTTGAATATATTCACTGAAGTTCAATATAGAAAGGTGTTCACTGTAAGAAGGTGTTCATTACAGGAATGTGTTCACTAGTAATCATTGTATGAAAGTGTTCATTAAATCAAGGTGTTCACTATAGAAAGGTGTTCACTGTAGGAAGGTGTTGCAATACATTGGAGAAAAGTTTTATACCACAGTCTGAAACTGTGATGATTAATTATATTTATTATATTGTAATTTGAAACATTCCAAGTGAACATGTACAGTAGATGATTTTGTTAATTCCATATTGATGAACTGAATTCAGTTTGTAAGTGTAAGTTGCTTGTTTTGACACTCATTTAAACGAATGAATTGATGCTATTATTATAATCTCACTCGTATCTACTGTCTTAGTAATTTGCGTACATTCCATGTGTACACTGTAAAAACTGCAATATTTGTTGTGCAACTTTGAAATAAAACTGTATAATAATTGCTAGTCACAAATATGCCACGACACTTTACATATAATTGGTAGATACATTATTTATGCAATGTTTAGTACTATGCACTTATTAGTACAGCTGTATCACTTATGATTTTAATGATGCCTATACACATCTTCTTATTATTTTCCCACCAATATTATAGCAGGTATATCTATGTCATTTTGATCTACTTATTAAGACATTTTCAGTGAATTTATTGCAATCATGGCAGGGTTCTCACAAGATTTTTCAGATTCCTGAAAAATTTGCATTCCAATACATCTATTGCAACATTCGCCGCACTGCCACTACCATATTTGGTCATTCCTGATATTGATGCCTGTCGGTCTCTATATTAAATGTTGCCAGAGCCCTGCATGGTATGAGATAATAATAATAATGATGTATTTAATTGAAACTTATATGAGTATTGTATTGTTAGAGTGCGGCACTTTCAATGAGCATTCAGTTTTGCACATTCCAAGAGATTAGCTATACATAGTGGGTTTCTTAATTTTGATGGTTAAAATATTTGAAAATACAAACATAAATGCTTGTATTGAAATGCAAACATAAATGCTTGTATTTAAATGCAAACATAAATGCTTGTATTTAAATGCAAACATAAATGTTTGTATTGAAATGCAAACATAAATGCTTGTATTGAAATGCAAACATAAATGATTGTATTGAAATGCAAACAAAAATGATTGTATTGAAATGCAAACATAAATGTTTGTATTGAAATGCTTGTACTGAAATGCAAACATAAATGCTTGTATTGAAATGCAAACATAAATGCTTGTATTGAAATGCAAACATAAATGCAACTGTGTTCATTGGATCAAACTGTTTAATCCTGGTGGCATCTAACTGCCAGAAATTTGTAAGTTGATTTCAGTAAACTGTGGCTACCAGTTTTAGTAAGAATATCCCTTTAGTACACAGTTCTGTCTATGGTACTGTAAAATTTGGTACTGTATGGTACCATAGACTAAAAATGGTACCATATGATTCTGAGGAAAGTTAAGACACATACGAGTATACTCTGAATCATGTTGTTAGAATCTCATATAGCATTGTGATATTTTAAGGTTGATGTATTGATTATTTTTTACAACACTATGTTATTGAAATTGTTATATTTATTTCATATTTTAATAGTTGGCTTCAAGTGTATATTTATACAAACAATTATGCTATTCTGTATAGTTATTAGAGATATTATTACATGAAGTAAAGTCACAAACAGACGCTGTCAATAATGTATAAATATTCAAAATTGTGTAATGCTCAAGGACTGGACCTACCTGTTAACCCTGAATTTATAGAGATTTTTCAAAAACTTCTACATTTGTATTTCTCATTTTTACTCTACCACCATGAATATTGTTATAGGTATCATTTTTGTGACTTGTTTGGCTTTCAGCATTGGCATCTGTACCAAATGGTTACACTTCTGTTAAAAATCGTTACACTTCTGTTATTGCAACCAGGTTGTAATTTTCAGTATTTATGTATTAAAGACATAATGTAATGGGAGGAATGACTGTTATGCCATCTATGTTTTATCTCACAGCCTGTAGAATCATTGCTGACTAATGTTTTGAATAGGTACTTCATGCTTTCCATTGGTATATGACCATACCACATTTTAAGATTTTGACTTTTGGTTTGCTTCCTATGCTTTCATTGTAAGATACTAAATTAAGGAATCATTATTTACAAGTCTGGTTCAATTTACAGTGTAATTTGTAATGATTCTTATAGAAAACTAGAATTGTATTGTATTCAGAGCAAATATTATTCCATGTACATGTACAGTTACCTGCAATAGCAATACATGAGTGTACAAGTATATATAAGTGAAATTAATTGTTGACGTCAGAAATGTGTTATTAATTGAATAAAATGTAAAGTTACATAGGAGTTAAATTATGTCAGAATTGTTTTTTATTATCAGAAAAATATTTAAAAGTGGCTAAGTAGCTATGCACCTTTTTATTATTCAATTTGGAACTAGTTCAATATGGACTAATAGGGAATTTCCTCTTACTGGGTGGCCAATATTTCAAACTTTACTATTTACAGAAACATTCTTTGGACCACTCAATAACTATTAAGGCCATCATGTCTGAGTCTAATGTAGAAACATGACAATACAAAACTTATAGACTCTTTTATTTAGCATGCTGGATACAGACTAGGGGGTCAATCGTGATAAATAATTGATAATTCAGTCTCACACATAGTTACAAATCCCATTAAATGAATGAATATTTGACAAATGACACTATGATATAACGAGAATATTCCATAATTAGAATTTCTTATTTCATTCAGTATGTTGTAACAATTTTAAAAATGTTTGTTTATATTAACGAATTAAGCGTTTCTTTGTTTAGTTTCAGTAATGAAACGCTCCGTTGTGCATGTAAGAGCGTATGGGTTGGACAATGTGAGATAGAAATACAAGAAAAAGTTAACTGATATATAAAAGATCTAAACTGAATAGGTTGAGTAAATCATGAAAGTGCGTCATTTACTGACTTTACTCATGGCTCAAAAAATAAATACAAAGAGACAATAAAACATTTTTGACATTCCACTCAGACATACAAAAAATTGGATGACATTTTATGTGACAAAACTTTTTAATAACATACTGGTATAAAGAATTACAAATAAGTTAGTCTTCAGCTTTTAACTTTTGGAAAAATGGCTGATAAATCAGAAAACTCTTTTGATGATGAACTAGTATCAGAGGTAAATATGATTTTATATTCTGTTTATGGTTGTCTGGTGGTGGGGAAGGGGTTCAATTGAAACATTTTCTCGGTATGTTTGAATATTCGTTTGGGATGTTGTGATTTCTATGTATTAAAAAAGGTTATTGTAACTGTGTCTCTTTAACATATTTAATACCCATGGCTTTTCCTCTTTGCTACTGGTACTAAGTGTTTAGATAATCAACAAGAAAGCAAGAATATGCACTTTCGTACATTTTCAGATCAGACAACTGCCTAATGTATGGCTAAAGAAGATAATTACGGCCATTTTTGTTTGGGATTTGGACAAAGATGGGCATACGGGGTATGATGATATAATGGATGTAGCAGACAAGGTTATCAATATTGGTAAGTGACTTTTAAAATGTAAATTACCGAATGAATAAATGAATCTATGAATGGAAAGAAATTAATCAATAGAACAGAATAGAATGGGACAGGGCTATAAGAGGACACATGAGGGGACTTCGTATGGGGTGTTATTTTGGAAATGATTCACCAATCATTTCAAGGTAAATTTTGAAACACTATATTTTGCTTAATTTTTGAAAAAATATCAGGCATTGACATAAAAAATACCAGCATCTGGTTGCAACAGTGTAACCCAGTGATCTCCCCAGCATCTTCATTCTTGCATGGCGCAGCACCCACTTTAGAGCTAAAAAACATGCCGACTTCAGACTTCAAGCAGTCAATTTTAATTTTAGGTAATTTGAATGGAAAATCTGCTGACAATTTAATAGACTGCTTCAGTGATCTGCCCAACGTCTTTATTCTTGGTGCAGCACCCACTTTAGAGCTCAAAAACATGCTGACTTCAGACTTCAAGCAGTCAATTTTCATTTTAGGTAATTTGAATGGAAATTCTGCTGACGATGTAATAGAGTGCTTCAGTGATCTCCCCAGCATCTTCATTCTTGCATGGCGCAGCACCCACTTTAGAGCTTAAAAACATGCCGACTTCAGACTTCAAGCAGTCAATTTTAATTTTAGGTAATTTGAATGGAAATTCTGCTGACGATGTAATAGAGTGCTTCAGTGATCTCCCTAGCATCTTCATTCTTGCATGGCGCAGCACCCACTTTAGAGCTAAAAAACATGCCGACTTCAGACTTCAAGCAGTCAATTTTAATTTTAGGTAATTTGAATGGAAATTCTGCTGACGATGTAATAGAGTGCTTAAGTGATCTCCCCAGCATCTTCATTCTTGCATGGCGCAGCACCCACTTTAGAGCTAAAAAACATGCCGACTTCAGACTTCAAGCAGTCAATTTTAATTTTAGGTAATTTGAATGGAAAATCTGCTGACAATTTAATAGACTGCTTCAGTGATCTGCCCAACGTCTTTATTCTTGGTGCAGCACCCACTTTAGAGCTCAAAAACATGCCGACTTCAAACTTCAAGCAGTCAATTTTTATTTTAGGTCATTTGAATGGAAATTCTGCTGACGATGTAATAGAGTGCTTAAGTGATCTCCCCAGCATCTTCATTCTTGCATGGCGCAGCACCCACTTTAGAGCTAAAAAACATGCCGACTTCAGACTTCAAGCAGTCAATTTTAATTTTAGGTAATTTGAATGGAAAATCTGCTGACAATTTAATAGACTGCTTCAGTGATCTGCCCAACGTCTTTATTCTTGGTGCAGCACCCACTTTAGAGCTCAAAAACATGCCGACTTCAAACTTCAAGCAGTCAATTTTTATTTTAGGTCATTTGAATGGAAATTCTGCTGACGATGTAATAGAGTGCTTCAGTGATCTCCCCAGCATCTTCATTCTTGCATGGCGCAGCACCCACTTTAGAGCTCAAAAACATGCCGACTTCAGACTTCAAGCAGTCAATTTTAATTTTAGGTAAATTTGAATGGAAATTCTGCTGACGATGTAATAGAGTGCTTCAGTGATCTCCCCAGCATCTTCATTCTTGCATGGCGCAGCACCCACTTTAGAGCTCAAAAACATGCCGACTTCAGACTTCAAGCAGTCAATTTTAATTTTAGGTAATTTGAATGGAAAATCTGCTGACGATGTAATAGAGTGCTTCAGTGATCTCCCCAGCATCTTCATTCTTGCATGGCGCAGCACCCACTTTAGAGCTCAAAAACATGCCGACTTCAGACTTCAAGCAGTCAATTTTCATTTTAGGTAATTTGAATGGAAATTCTGCTGACGATGTAATAGAGTGCTTCAGTGATCTCCCCAGCATCTTCATTCTTGCATGGCGCAGCACCCACTATAGAGCTCAAAAAACATGCCGACTTCAGACTTCAAGCAGTCAATTTTCATTTTAGGTAATTTGAATGGAAATTCTGCTGACGATGTAATAGAGTGCTTCAGTGATCTCCCCAGCATCTTCATTCTTGCATGGCGCAGCACCCGCTTTAGAGCTCAAAAACATGCCGACTTCAGACTTCAAGCAGTCAATTTTAATTTTAGGTAATTTGAATGGAAAATCTGCTGACAATTTAATAGAGTGCTTCAGTGATCTCCCCAGCATCTTCATTCTTGCATGGCGCAGCACCCACTTTAGAGCTCAAAAACATGCCGACTTCAGACTTCAAGCAGTCAATTTTCATTTTAGGTAATTTGAATGGAAATTCTGCTGACGATGTAATAGAGTGCTTCAGTGATCTCCCCAGCATCTTCATTCTTGCATGGCGCAGCACCCACTATAGAGCTCAAAAAACATGCCGACTTCAGACTTCAAGCAGTCAATTTTCATTTTAGGTAATTTGAATGGAAATTCTGCTGACGATGTAATAGAGTGCTTCAGTGATCTCCCCAGCATCTTCATTCTTGCATGGCGCAGCACCCGCTTTAGAGCTCAAAAACATGCCGACTTCAGACTTCAAGCAGTCAATTTTAATTTTAGGTAATTTGAATGGAAAATCTGCTGACAATTTAATAGAGTGCTTCAGTGATCTCCCCAGCATCTTCATTCTTGCATGGCGCAGCACCCACTTTAGAGCTCAAAAACATGCCGACTTCAGACTTCAAGCAGTCAATTTTCATTTTAGGTAATTTGAATGGAAATTCTGCTGACGATGTAATAGAGTGCTTCAGTGATCTCCCCAGCATCTTCATTCTTGCATGGCGCAGCACCCGCTTTAGAGCTCAAAAACATGCCGACTTCAGACTTCAAGCAGTCAATTTTAATTTTAGGTAATTTGAATGGAAAATCTGCTGACAATTTAATAGAGTGCTTCAGTGATCTCCCCAGCATCTTCATTCTTGCATGGCGCAGCACCCACTTTAGAGCTCAAAAACATGCCGACTTCAGACTTCAAGCAGTCAATTTTAATTTTAGGTAATTTGAATGGAAATTCTGCTGACGATGAAATAGAGTGCTTCAGTGATCTGCCCAGCATCTTCATTCTTTGCGCAGCACCCACTATAGAGCTAAAAACATGCCGACTTCAGACTTCAAGCAGTCAATTTTAATTTTAGGTAATTTGAATGGAAATTCTGCTGACGATGTAATAGAGTGCTTCAGTGATCTGCCCAGCATCTTCATTCTTGCATGGCGCAGCACCCACTATAGAGCTAAAAAACATGCCGACTTCAGACTTCAAGCAGTCAATTTTAATTTTAGGTAATTTGAATGGAAATTCTGCTGACGATGTAATAGAGTGCTTCAGTGATCTCCCCAGCATCTTCATTCTTTGCGCAGCACCCACTATAGAGCTAAAAACATGCCGACTTCAGACTTCAAGCAGTCAATTTTAATTTTAGGTAATTTGAATGGAAATTCTGCTGACGATGTAATAGAGTGCTTCAGTGATCTGCCCAGCATCTTCATTCTTGCATGGCGCAGCACCCACCATAGAGCTAAAAAACATGCCGACTTCAGACTTCAAGCAGTCAATTTTCATTTTAGGTAATTTGAATGGAAATTCTGCTGACGATGTAATAGAGTGCTTCAGTGATCTGCCCAGCATCTTCATTCTTGCATGGCGCAGCACCCACTTTAGAGCTCAAAAACATGCCGACTTCAGACTTCAAGCAGTCAATTTTAATTTTAGGTAATTTGAATGGAAAATCTGCTGACGATGTAATAGAGTGCTTCAGAGATTTAGCAAGTCACACAAGTGATAACCCTCCCACAGAAGTTTTCAGAGTAACATCTTTGTCGGAGCAGCTAGTGGCTGTTTGGAGAACCAAGGATAACCCTAGCCTAAGGGAGTCGAGGGGAAAAATATATTCTCGCATGTTTCAGGTAAAAAAATAACTAAAAACTGTCTTTATTTGTATGACACGAATCGGATCCATGGTCCATTTAAGTGAAATACACAAACAAAAGATTTGCATTTAGTTTTGTAAAAGAAGTAGGAAATCCCAAATTCTATTTCAAAAAACTTTTCATTTTGAATACTTCAAAATAGTAAAATGATATCATGTAAACTATCACTGTTTAGGACCACATGTTTATTGCATTTGAGCAGCCACCTTGGATTTCCACACAAAAGTCACAGTCAATTTCCCAACAGTTGAGTTTACCTGAAGGGAAAAGGTTAACAACACATACTTTTCATTACCATTGCAGGCTATTGATTTCAACGCTAATGGATTTCTTACGTTCGACAAGTATTTGGTGTTTTGGAACGCATTCAAACTGGACAGGAGATTTGCAAGGATGCAGTTTGACTTCATGGATACAGACCAAGATGGGAAAATAAGCGATGAAGAGTTTTTGAAAGCTCACGTAGATTACATTGAGAACACAAATGATGGTACGCTCAATCGATTCTTTGGACCACTCATTAATTATTGAGCTAGGCATGTCTCAAATATTTTGGGAACAGATTGTAACATTATACACCTAATTTAATTTTCATTAACTTAAAAACTTTTGTACAAATATATTGCGTTTCAACTGTAATTTATGTAAAATATCAACAAAATTGCTCCACTATCTTTTACTGTCATAACAAATACCATAAGAGAACATTAAAAATGGCCATATATGATACAATATTCGCCATCTACTCTGAATACCTCAATCAATAAAGGTTCAGTAATACTAGCAACTATGTCCAATCGATTCAGTTTTCACCTTTCCTGGCTTTAAACTACATAAAAATACAAACAGTTTAGTTTCATAATTTAATTCATCATTTTATATTCTAATGCGTATATTATTTGGCAAAGCAATATTTTCTTTTGTAATGCATGCATGTTCAGTTCATTTGCTCATTACATTGTGAGAATGGTTAACTGACTACATGTACATGTTATCATCCTCCAAATGCATCAATCTCACTATGTTTATCTCTGCGTATGAAAACTCCAGTTGCACTATTTTCATTGCGCATGTATATTGACCATAACTGCAGTGGCCAGATCCTTCCACTGATATTCCTTATAAATTCTCATGACTCCATATATTTCATGAAAGTTATGATTTTATACAACAAATGTATTAACTCAAGATTAATTATTTTAAAAATAAATGTTCATCTCCAATGTTGAAAATAAATTATGGCACATTGTTATCAAAATCAAACATTTATATGTGATAAAAAAGAGAATTTTAACAAGATATTGTAACAATCCATTAAATTTACAACTTAAATAAGGTGTAATATGTGCACTGTTCATTCCAAAATACAGAAACATACTACATCTAGTATGTAATTTGTGCAAAAAAACATTGGAATTATATAATTTGTATATGTTCACATTCACAGTGAAATATAACTTTTCCTACAATAATTCAGTACAATTAAATTATGACTGTACGGTAAAGCAGTGTAAGTAGAACACCTTTAGTTGAGCTAGTGTTCCACTCAGTTTTCTCCCCAGGAATTTTTCTCAAGTGGGTTCAACATTTTTGATTCACAATTTAGACCTTTGGTCAAAATGTCAAAATATGCTTATTTTTCATTATTTTTTCTTGTTTTCAAGTGGGTGCAAATGAATTCTCAAGTGGGTGGAGTGCCCACTTGCTTCAATCCTGGGGAGATCACTGCTCCCCTTGACAGGTATTACTGTAATTGAAACAATCGCAACTGGTTGTGCAGGTTAAGATGCCATAACAATGATCACATGAGAAGCTCATGGTTAAAACTCGTCTTCTCTCGAACAAAACTGGTGTGAATTAACATTCTCTTGCATTTGACAAGAATTGTATAATATGATAACCAATGAAGAGTGAGGGGTCTCTCAAGATAAGGTACAAGGAGATGGTCTGCTTAAGGTAATTGTGCTCTAGAGAATGATATATTTATGGACATACCGGACATTATAAAATTGCCATCAATGTTTATAACTTTGGCAATTGCTTAGATTTCTAATTTCATTTTATGGAATAAAGTGTAATGATGATAAAAAATGGACATCCCCTATATAGCAGTCTTTGTATCTCTCACTTATTACTCTTACATGATACACTCCCCTCAAAACTTATGGAGGGGGTGTACATCATACACAAATTGCATAAGTTTGTAAATTGTGTACATGTGTATTCTGGCCTTTTTGGTCATCTTAGCAAACAGATGCACCTGAAAACCAATTATTTCCACATTCCTATCTGCAATCCATGTCCTATAAACCAACTATAATTTAATATATGCAAACTGTTTGACTGGAGATAGCCTGAAGCGTAGTTAAATCACTTTCCTATAGATCAATTGAGATTAAAACCAGCCAAATTTCCTGTTCTTTCTGTCCTCCTCTTTGTATTTCTCCTCAGTTTCTTTATAATAAGCCCTATCATATCCCTCGACAATGTCATGTTCATCCGCACGCTCTAGAACTGTGATTGGCTTATCTGGGAGGGTTCGGATTGCGGTATCTAGGGGCACAACGTTCAGTTTATCATCTGATTGGGAAAGAATGCCAAAACTATCCAGAAGTTTCACAGACTCCTCACAATCAAACTCAATGGCTGTTCCAGTTTTATCACGCACCCATTCTTCTATATGACGCTCAAGTTGAACACTCGGGATGCCCCCTGGAAAATGTACCATCATCATGATTATGTACATTTGCATGAGTTTCAAAATCAAAAATTTACCAATCACACTAATAAAGATAGAATGAATGAACCGTAAAATGTAAATTAAAATGGAAAGTAAGTATATTCTTAGCCAAAACTCCATGAAAATGGTTTAAATCAATGAAATTAAAAAGTTTGAAATCATCTGATATCATTCGCCATTTTGACAAGTTTGACAAGTTCAGTCAACAAGCAGAAAAATATAGCAATATAATTGAAGATGTACATATATATTATGTAAGTATGTAACTTGCCTAGTTCTGCAGGCAGCTGTTGACTGCTTTGTACATCTCTAAGTGAAGGAGGTCTGTTTGTCAACAGACAGGTATAGCTCAATAGCGCCTCCTTATAAGTCTCGTCCTCTGCCCTGTCAACTAAATGCGTCAACAATGCTCGGTTATTTGCAATATTCTTGAAGTATAACATCCTATTCAATTGAACTACATAGTTGTTTCTCCTATTTTTATATACAGTCCATGCGCGAAATCCAATTAAGCCAGTAACACCAGTCATTATAAGTGTCCAGTTGACGGGATAGTTAGCGAGATATGTCACGGCTTTCGCTAATATGCCAAAAGATGCGATACCGGCACTAGTGACTAGGATACCTCGATCTAAACGACTCATCTTGATTTTCCCGTCTGGGAGTAACTGTTCAAGTGCATTGGTTGGTACCTCCTTGAAGATCTTTAGAGTTAGTTTCTGGTCTCTCTTTAGTCGTACAGCGACAACGACTCTCTTGAAGTATTCCATTGGTCCAGGGACAGGCTTCCGGGTTACCCTGTAGTAAAGCCTCTGGGAGAGTGGCAGTTGAGGAGGCGGAGCTTCACGACCGAGAGCCCAGAATCGCAAGATGTCATATTTGTCAGGGTTTACACTCACCTAAAGAAATATTATAAAGAATGACATAATAAAAACATTCAAAAAGCATTGTGAAACAAGAATTCAATGCATACTTAAATGCATGATAAATAATACATTATAATTATAATAAAAACATTTTTTGGTACAGTATGTCTTGAATATGTAAAAAGTCCACTGAAAAAAGAAAGCAAACCAATTTGTATTGATTATATGCTGTATACAATTAAACAGAACAAATGAGGCAAAAGTAATTCCATACCAGAACTCCCTCACTTGCAGTATGTTCAGTTAGGGCTTTTTCTACAATGTGTTTGGGAATTTCACGAAAATTGGCTTTTTCCATGATGCTAGTCAACTTCTGCAAGAGCCAGAATTCATTGTCAAGTCTCTCTCTGCGGTTCCATTGTCGCGTTGCAACTGTGTCTTTGTCAGGGTTGATAGGGTCAAAAAGACTCTGGAAAATAATGTAATAAATACAGTAAATTTTGATAAAGAATTTTGAATACACTGTTTCTCCTGCCTATTGAATTAGAAAAATACTGTATTTGGACTTCATTCTAGATGTGGCTTGAATTCTTGAATGTCCAATTAATTTCGAAAGCAATTTTTCAAACAAATTCTTTTTGAGAATCTATGTGTGTGGAGTTCATTTATTCATGCACAGAGTTTAGTATTTATAAATCATGTTTTGCAGTATCAGTTAAACAAAAAACATCTAAATATGTATTTCTCTGCATTTTTTCTGAAAATAATTAAAAAACAACATTTTTCTGTAAACTTTTGGAGAGGTGATTAACTGCCTCATAGTTAGCTGCACCCAGGAGCAGTATATCTTCAATACCTTCAGTTCCTGTCTTATGCCTAAGAACTTGTTCTCCACAGCACTGTCCAGGTGACCAGAGAACTCTTCAAACTTCTTGCGTTCCTCCTCTGACAGGAAGTCCTTCTGTTGCATCATGTAGCGAAAAATCGACCATCTTGTAAGAGGAATAAATCGCTCTCTGAAACAGAAGATTTCTATTATGAAGGCATTTATGAATGGGTAAGATAAAAGTATCATTAAATGCGCATTTTAGTGATAATCATATGTTTTATGCCAATATAAAGATGGCAGCTGTTGTAGAATCTTATATAAAAAAGCCTATGGTGATTAAGAAGGACAACAAATGAATAGAGAAAGAATTCAAAGCATCTTCAATATTGGTTCTTCTGTCCAAAATAACATTTACATATCAGGCCCATAGCCGGAGGGGGTGGATTGGGGGTTAATGCAAATCCCCCCTGGCCAAAATTTCTTTCAAAACCATGCAGTTTAACTGTAAAGGGCATTGCATAGGAAAATGGATTTCTAGCTGTTTTTAGAAAAATAACATTATATTACTTTATTATAAACTACTGTAAACCTGGGAATAGCTATTATATTCTATATATATGAAATCTGGAATTTTGCAGCTATTTATTTCAGATTTTAAACATTTTCTCTTGAAAGTAATTTCACAAAGATGTTCTGTTTCTGTTTATAAAATAACTTCACTAGGAAAGATTTCTGTAACAAGTTCAAATTTGAAGTAAGAAATTACCAGGTTTAGAGTACATCCTAATTAAAAAACATTCAAACCAAAATAAGCTAGGCTAACATTTTGAAGTCAATACAGAAATACTATGGTATGGGATGTCCTATTCTATTTTACGACATACCTTGCTTTGACTCTACAAAAATAACATAACTGGAATGCATTATTATATAAATCATTATGTAAACAGAAGATCAAATAAACCAAAAAATTGCGATGTAATAGAGATTAAGGTTGCAGCGTGTCGTTGACCAAGATGACATAGTAGTTAGTAGGTATACTTTGTGAAATTCCCAAAATTTAATTGCAGCGAAATCGTGTTTTCTCAAAATTCAAGATTTTAAAACTCTCGAAATTAACCGGGAGTACAGTATATATAAGGGAAAAAATTATGATCATTAAAAATGATCCCAACATTGAGTCTTACAAGATAATCAAATATAATATAACATTCTAACTGAAGTAGGATGATATGAAGGTTGTAAAAACTAAAAGTGTATTTCCAAAAAGATTTAGTCACACCATAATTACATTATGTTCAAGATTACAAAAGCAAAACAAAAGTAATTCTTCAAAATGACAAATTATTTCAAATTTCTAGTGATGCCATTACAGTTTAAAATATTGGAAAACATTTAAATCATGATGAAAATAGGCCTAAAGCATTGCAATGAAATGCCAATATTTGAAATCACAAATTCACTACACATTTGTGTATCTACGTAAAATGTTCTACTGCCTGGCCCTGCAAATTTGTGAAGCAACTGAAATCATTTAAATTATTGAGACAAAAATTCTGAGACAACTGCCTTGGTTACTTAGATGTGGACACTAGATTGAACAATGTGAAGTAAAACTAGTTAGACAGTTGGCATCAGGTAAATGAAAGAATGTCAACTCACACTTTGGTGGGATCTTCCTCTTCCTTTATCTCATCCTGGACAGCTGGAACATTTTTCTCACTTGTTACATCATCAGTTTTGAATCTGCGTTGATGCTGGAGCACCAGATATACAGCACCTCGACCATACTCTGATGCAGCGATCTACAGTGCCATGTAATCAAAGACATAGATGTAACATGCTCTAATGGTGTTAGGTAGTATATTAACACATGATTTACCTATTTCAAAGGCTGGACTGATCTGATATATATCAGAATCAGCAGTGCTTTCAGTAGGCTTGTCCAAAAGTGCTTCCCTGGGACGGATTGATTTTCCAAAATTGCGTCCCCATGAAAAAAGGTTGCCGGGAATTCATAATCACATTTTTTGCACTGAACGAAAAAAATTGATGAAAGTTTGTATCAGTTTCGTTTTTTTTGGCCCAGATCAGTGTTCTACACACTTCTAGTAGGTCATTGAATGATGCAGATACCTTCATTTGAAAGAGATGACTAATATTCAACCACTAAATACCATTTTTCTTTGTGTATTTCAAAGCAATTTGCTATTGATTTTGATCGCCCAGAAAGTTTCACTTGGAGCAATCTCCGTGAGGTTCCATTTTTGGTTCAGTTTTTTGCGCATGCGCAACAAATCCAGCAATTTGATTAGTTGAAATTATTAAGACGCATGCGCGATTAATATTCGCGGCCAATCATAGGACTCGTACCGATTACCGCTCAGATATCAACTACTAGTGATTGTCCTATCACATACCTCGTACTATTTTGATCTATTTTGAAACTCCGAAAGAAAATTTTATTTCTTTTAGAAATAGAATATCTTTCGTTTTATTGAGCGGATTTTGACCAAATAAAAGACTGGAGGTAAGATCTTTATCAATACATTCATCCAGAGTTGATTTTTTTTATATGACCTCAGGGTTCTCACCAGGAAATTTTTAGACCCCGGAATTTTAGCGGTATTGTGACTACTTTTTTTTCGCGGTATCGCGACTACTTGTCCCCCATATGAGATCAGAGATATCCTATTAGTATACTTTTCAACATACTTCTTAAGATTATCTTGCTATTTAGAACCCAATGTTTATTTCTAAAAGGTTTCTGACTTCCTATGTCTTGTTTGTATCCAGTTTTATGTTTTTTCTCAAGAGTTTTACCACAAATAATGTGACAAAAATGTAAAATTAGACTCTGGAAAAAAACACTTTAGACTCCGGAAAAGCAATTAGACTCTGGAGCAAGAGGGTTTTAAGGCATTAGACTCCAGAGAATCTCCGGAGTCTAAAAGCCTAGTGAGAACCCTGGACCTGCACTGTGTCCAAGTGACCCCTCATTTTCATTGTTTGGGGTCCCTAAAGTAAAAACCGGGTCCTCTCCATTATGGGACGGCGTTAATGAAAGCACAGCAATCAGTTAGCAGCCTTTGACAATAGGTAACACATGTTAAGTGCAGGTGGTGTTTCTGTATACGACGCAGCCCAATAACCTGTACATATACCTCAGCGATTTGTCATTAAATTTAGAGGCAACAAGAGAATGAAATGGTGAAAGACACTGCTAAAAGCAAGCAGAAAGGGACCAGAGGACACCATTGCAGTGTCTAAGGATATGCATGGCTAAAGAAGAAGAATGTACATGTAGGGATATCATGTCACAGTACATGTCAGTGGCGTAGCGTCGTTTACGCAAAGTACGCAAATGCATCAACTGGAACAATCCAATGTTTATCTGAATATTTGGAAATTCTAAATTTCTCAAGTTTTAATAAGCAAAGCCATTGTTCAACCTTATCATTTCGTATCTTTGAACAGGTTTCAACCATAGAAATTAGGTGTTTATTTTAGTCCCGACATGTCATTAATGATTCTTTCAAATTATACTCTCATAATTTTTCTACAAGACTTATAACATGGGCTTTCAACTAGACTTATGAGTAAATTTCAAGTGGAAATGAATGCGTATCGGGTAAACCCCCCATCCCAATTTTGGAATTTTGCGTCCCCTAGTAAAATTGCCACGCTACACCACTGCATGTATAAGGTAGAGTGTGCTATTTCGGTTCAATAGAGTCTAGCCTAAAATGCTTGATTATTTCTATCCAGTTTTAACATCAGCATATACACCCCACAACAGGATAAACAGTTGCCGTTTATAGCAAGTATAAGTCGATTGGAATTTGGAAAATATTTGACGCGATTGTGAGTTGGATTGGCATTTGGAAACTGAAAAAATCCGAGGTCTGAAATTATTAAACACAAACTCATTATATTTACACAATTAATAACTCAGTTATAACTGTACTCAATTTAAGATATATATGTTTTGCATTATTCAACAGCTCCGTTTACTTACATTATGGTCGGAGCGCTTGATAATTCGTTGAAAAGCTGTGAAAAGTGGTCTTCTGCAAAAGTTGGCCATATTTATGCGCAGCTTTTCTGCACAGGAAGTAGGAAATGACCTTCACCTATACATTTTCCCGGGAAATTTAGAAATAAACACAACAACAATGTACCTCTTTTATCACTAAATCACTCTGTTTTAGCAAATGTATATTGTACAAAATTTTGACAAAATTTTCATAAACTATTGAAGCATCAGAATGGAGAATTTTAGACTTATGGATCCAGCAGAAGTTGAGTTTTTAGCTGAAAAAGAAATGGTCCAAATTGTACCAAATTTTTCTCAGGACATCATTTATTTGATTGGTGTAAGTACTGTTTCTTTACTTTTTGTTTAAAATATACATATATATATATATATTTAAAAATACTCCCCTCAAGCCTTGATGTGTATTTTAATTTGTTGTGAATTATTTTAGGAGATCTCCTCTGCCATAAGCCAGCTGTCCGCTCCAAGGCTGCCATCAAGTGGTTTGCGACAGCAAATCAAGCTGTTCCATTTTCGGCATCAGAAAAATCTTTACAGTCTATGATTCTTATTCTATCTTCTCAGTTTTGAGGATTATTACGTCATTCTATGGTGGCGTAGCGACTAAGGTCCTGGGTACGATTCCTGCACAGGGCATTTAATTTATCAAACTTTCATTCATGTCTGTACTCTCTGTATATTGCTTGTAACACTGTGCTGTGCAGTTGGCCATTTCCCAGAGGTGGCCTCGGGTCTTTACAGTAACAATTATTTTAATTTTAGGGATGTTATCTCAGTTTCTCCAATCAGATATCAAGGGCCAGTTATATTGACCAATAAGAATTATTTGTATTTTCTAAAAATATTGAATGGCCTTTCTTGAGTCAGGATGATTGACCCAAAGAGTTTACCATTTTGATTGTATTGCAAATTTGACCAATTTGATGCACACGGTTCAATTCTAAATAGAATATAACTTAGAGACCAAGACATTTGTTATAGGATAAGTTGATGAAAATGTGACCCGGTGTTATTTATACATGTGTATATGACTTGATTAGTTAAGTCCATAATTTAAGATGTGAAATTAAAGGAGCAAATTTTGAATTTATTCTCTACAGACCTTGTTGCCCCTTTAATAGGCTTGGGGAGGACAGCCTGTTATACATGTATGGTTTATCGTATGATAGCAATATTACTTTACCCCTCTCATGATTGAGTTTGTAGTCTGGTTTAAATTGTTTTACAGAGCCTTTATAATGAGTGTAATTATTCTGTTTATCAATTGTCTCTTACAGGGTGAGATAGGACCTTTTAATCCCAGTCTGCCTGTTGATGTACCACTATGGCTTGCAGTAAACTTGAAGGAGAGGCAGAAATGTAGAATTAATGCACCACAGTGGATGGATATAGGTACATATTAAATCAGCACTTTTCTATTTGTCGAGTTATGGCTACATGCTAATGTCAGTTAGAGTATAGGTTGTACTTCAGTGGATATGGTTCTTTGAGAAACTGTCCATTAACAAATTTTCAATTTTATTGCAGAACAACTTGAAGCCAAAAAAGAAGAAGAAACAGAAGCCCAATTCTTCACAGAAATGCCCAGTCCTCATTATATGGAGGTCACGCAATTGTTACTGAAATGGTATGTCAAGTCTTTATTCTATTAGTCTCATTGTTGTCACTAAATAAATGAAGTCTAAATGGTACATGAGGTCCTTACAGGGCAAGCAGACTTTAAGATATACCTTTAATTTCCACCATTAGTGATCTGTGCTTGTCTTAGCATGTGAGTCTCATAATCAAATTACCCTCCCAAATTTTAAAACCATTTTCTCTTACTAAAGAAATTTCTTAAATTACTGAGTTCAAATGACTAGCCTTAACCTTTTAATACAGTAGACTTTCAGACATGTAAATACCGTTAAACCCTTTGATTTACTTCAGTGCGCCTGAGATCCCTAGGGCCGATGAAATGAGGACACTGGTGAAAGATATCTGGGATCTACGGATGGCTAAATTCAGACGGAGTATAGATCTTCTTGTAAAAAGTGACCACACACATGCAAAGGTGCACCATTTATTTGATATTTTGTTAATTACATGTGTATTCTTCTGTCCTTCTACCCATCCATCAACAATTTTTTGATATTGAAAATTGAAATGAGTCTGAATAATCTATTTCTTGTGAAATCATTTTAGGATATTATATTTTGCATATTTTGCTATGATATATTGGATATTATAACTTCTGAAGTTGAAGTTGAAGTTTTTATGGTAACGGTTGCTATTTGTCTCAATAATTTTTTAATAATTGTAACATCATTGAAGTTTTATATTGTAACAGTTGCTATTTGTCTCATTGTTATGTAATAATTAATTATTTCAGTTAGATTCAAATATAATTTTATTTCTGAAGAAGTAGGATGGACATCCTATACGAAATGTCAAAAGAAAATTAAATATCTCTGAGAAAGAAAATCAACAACTAATAATAAACTTCTGAACAGTTTTCCAATTTCCTCTCATGACACAATTGAAGCACGAGTTTGTTTAAAGGGTGACGCATATCGTTTAGCAAATCGAACGCTCGTTTCTGGTGTTGCTCAGCGTTTAGTATAAAAGGCCCGATCCCGGAATAATACTCAAGGGTTCACATGTTCGAGGTCGTTGTGTCAACACCTCTAACTGTTATATAGCATAAGTATATTATAGATCGTCACACATTTATAAAAAGGTGATTTTTATTTTGACAAATCAATTCCTCATTTATGGGTGAAGTTTCAGGATCTTCTATTTGTGTATAATAAGGAAAAATTGGCATCTAAATTTCCCCATAACGTAATAGCACACAGCTCGGCATATGAAATATCCTACAAATGAAACAAAGCAGTTCTAATACAAGGATTTATATTGGCTGTTGTACATGTATTCTTTGAACGCAATCACTCTTTGGATAACGTTTTCAAAACCATTATAAACGGATTACTTTATCTCAAAGACAATTTCAAAAACTGGATTTTACAGAACTCCCCTTATTTCTTAAAAATGGACTGATCCAGTTGATTCCCCTGGAGCCGCCATATTGTTTTTATACGGGATGCTAATCGGAACCCTTTAAGCTTTCTATTCATATTTTTTTGTGTTATTTTTTTAGGTAGGCCAGATTAGAATATCTAGAAAGTCTAAAATGCCAAATTACCATATTATATAATTATTAGTGTCAGAATAATCCCATTGTTAATATATCAGTTTCAATATAATATCATTTTCATGAAGATATGAATGATGAGTTTGAATTTCTCCATTTCAGGTGAATCATCTTACCTTGATGGAGATAAACACAATGCGACCCTTTCTTACTAAAGCTTTGGACCAGATACACAGTCTAAGAACTAACACCCAAAGTGCAGGATATATTGCACCTCAATGATCTTCCAAAGTGATGGATATATTGCACCTCAATGATCTTCCAAAGTGCATGATACATTGTACTTGAATGAACTCATAAAGTGCAGGATATATTGTACCTCAATGACCTTACACAGAGCAAGATATATTGCACCTCAATGATCTTCCAAAGTGCGGGATATGTTGCACCTCAATGACCTTACACAGAGCAGGATATATTGCACCTCAATGATCTTCCAAAGTTGCACCTCTATGACCTTAAAAAGTTCAGGATAAGTTGCATCTCGATGATCTTATGAAGTGCAGGATATATTGTACCTCAATGACCTTACTAAGTGGAGGATATATTGCACCTCAATGGATTCACTAAGTGCAGGATACATTGCGCCTCAATGACCGAACAAGGTGTAGGATATATTACACCCCGATGACCTTACACCCCCAAAATGCAATCCGATTTTTGACGCCGTTTCGGCACCAAATGGACTGACTAGTCCGGTAGCAAATTTTGGTGTCAAAAGGTTTCGGTGCCGGGACGGTGTTGAAACAGTGCAGGAACAGTGCCGAATTTTTTCGATGCCGAAATGCCGTCGAATTATATTGGCTGTGTACTAAGTGCATGATACATTGCACCTTAATGATCTTCCAAAGTGTATAATATATTGCACAAATTATTACCTTTGTCATAACCAAAGTTACCTTTATGTCAGTTTTGATTCTGCTGAACTCTCACATTTTGACTCTTAGATCATCTTTCATAAAGGCATTGAGGGTTCTTTAAGATCTTTTTCATGGCCTTTTATGGGAAAGATTGAAGCCAAGGTCAATCCCTTTTCATTTTTGCGAAGTGAAACAAAACACAATATTATCTCTTCCTCTTTATTTAGAGCTGACTTCTAGTTTATAATTGCACAATTGATGAAGCAACAATGGAATTTCCAGAGTTCCAAGATTGGTATCGATGTGGTGAACTTTTTGAACACATGCTTCTCTTAAATCAGTGACCAAAATATTCTGAAAATTTTACACATCGTCAATGTAATGGTCATCTTTTGAATGGTAACTTATAATTTGAGAAAGTATATATACTTTTCTTTATATTGTTTTAGAAAACACATCAGACACTTCTTTTGTTCTTGGTATAATATGTACAGATGTACGAAATGAAATGAAACATCTATCCAAACCTCATTGGAACAAAATGACATATACACGACGTGTTTACGTCTCTCAATATTGTAATTGTACAAAGCAGTTTTGTTGATTTTAAAAAAGTATCTTGTGAATGAAATAAAAGGTTTATCTTAATTTTTATCTATTTTGGGGGGTTTGTTTTAATTTATTGAATACTTTTTGTTGAATGAAGCAAAATTTCCATTGTATAACTATAATATTGAAAGGTCTAAAAAAATTGTTGTGTATGCTAAGGTTCGGAAAGATATTTTATTCCATTCTCAAGAATTAGTAGAAAGGAACAAAAAACAATTGCACTAAAAAACAAAAAATGTTCACAAAAACAGTTGTATAAAATATATATAAATAATTTAAATTGTTGTCAATCAGTCAACATTACATAAAGGTCAGTGCTTTTTACAGAATGTTTTCAATTATTGGTTTAAGAGAAAAGCATTGTTGAATTCAGTTCACCATATCAATACCAATCCTTTTAAGAATAAGTCATAAAACTTGTGGCTGAGTAAACTGATCCAAGGAAACGGGACATATTTGTAAATTTTGATGATACCATTTGTAGATTAACAAGACGCGGAGGTCTAATTTTGGTCTAATGTGCTTAGATTCATTATTTATCCAAGTGGAATCTCCAAGTGAACAGACCTTTCAAATTAACACTACACCCTTTGCTACATCAATTTAATTGTCTAGTTCACAAATTCCTGAATTTCAAAAAAGGCATTTCAAAATCAGCAATAAGTTATTTCTATTTTGTATTTGGAAACTATTGAGTTGATACATCATGGTTTCTTGTAGCACTGGATGGCACGGTTCATTGAATAGATCCATTACTTTGTATTTAAGCTCTTTCTGTGTGCATTATCCAATCCTAAACACGGAATCACGTCAGCTTCAATGTGAACAATTCTGTGAATGCCAATGTAAAAATAACAAGAAAATAAAATATGTAATTTGTAAATATGACATTTTTATTTTACATTTATTTCATTTAATATTGGAATGTGACAACTACTCTACATTTTAGTTGCTATAGCTACAACACACTCACCAATATACATTCATAGGAACTGAACTAATTTACAATTGAATTAGAATAGAATTGAATTTGTAGCTAGACAGGCTCCTATTCAGGCTAAAACCACTACAGGCATAACACTGCTACAGTCACAACTTTTCTCAAAATATTACACATAATCCATTGCATTATATAAAATTAATTTCATAAAACTATTTAATTTTTGATATCACAATATCGTTCAATATAATTTTCGGTAAATTTATAATTCACCTTTATAATCTTACGGATTAGGTCAGTATAGCAATGTACATTCACATCAGGAGAGGAATCTAGATCTATCTATTACTATGGATTTAATGTTAATTTAAAATAATATTTCACCATAAAATCATTTGGTCATGATTTTGAATCAAGGCCTACATGTGTATCCAGGAATCATTAAAATATAAACTGTTCGCCCCTCCTTACAGGAGAGCACATATGTGCCATCTATATGCATCATACGATACTACATTCAGGTAATATAATGAACATTCACAAATTACTAAAATATTGAATTCACAAATTCAAATAAAATATTAACATATTTTTACTATAATTTACAATCTCAATTAAGAGTCTAAAAACTGAGATTTTTGTTAACTAGTTGCTTCACAAGAGAGATTTCAACATAATTCATTATACTTAAGTTGTGTCCCGATTTTACTAAAAGTAAAAAATAAGCCATTGTTGAAAAAGTCAATTCCAAATATGTTCATCATTCGGTTCCGCAGACAAAAAGCCAGCATAACGTAGGTGCATACAATAAAACTGTACAAAATATCCTGTTATCAAGTATATGATACTTAACTCCAAAGAAAACAGAATGTGGAAAAGTTAGTTTAATGGTGTTAACTGACCTCAAGTCCTGTATTGTAATAAGTGACTGATTCAGTAACAGGCCAGTCTGATCTTCAATACAATATAAAGATTTGTGATTTTTGTCTCTTGACTACGAGCAGGAGAACTGTTAATGATAGCTGGCCTCAATTCACTTGCACAAATATGCCTTTGTATAATCACTCGGGGAGTGTTCCTTAGACGTTGTCATGGAGTTGTGGTAATTATAATTACCATTGTGAAGATTTCCCATTGAACAGTCCCAGTTTTTATGGTATCAAAATGTCAGAATCCTGTATTTTAAGTTTATGGTATCAAAATACCTCCAGTGCACCTCCTCTGTATGGTACTGAATTATTGCCAGCATGCCTCCCAGTCATTTTTGCTACCACAATGCCTCCAGTGTACAGTTGTAGGTCAATACTGTACTCCAGTGTAGTTGTAGGTCAATACTGTACTGATCATCTATTGCCAAAGTACGTTCATGTATCATTAAGAGATTACCTCTTTGTTCTTAGTCATATTCTATCAGCATTTTTTGTCATTATTATTCTGGAAAATATAAAAAATCCTATGTGATATTACACACAAACCAAGTAAATCTTTCATCTTGCTATTTTTTTCCTATAATTTTGAAAATGTTGGCAATTTTGGTAAAAACATCATGCCTAATGCTAGTGAAAGTTCAGATATGTGACTGGTCATTAATCTTTTGAACTTACCAGTTCTGTGACAAATATGCAGATCTTTTATTTGTATTGTTGCTTGTGGGCTTCACCAGATGGCACCTCTGAGCTAGATGACTCCCTGGCCTGTTGCCTGTAATATAAATAGCAAAATCTTGAAAAATGGACAATTGAGAACAATTTTCAAAAATATATTAGGTCATATTATTTGACACTGTTTAACAGGAAAATATTCTTTTGTGGAAGAAGAAAACCCATTACTAAAATCAAAGCTAGAGTCAGCAAATATTTACCTGTTATATGCCTCCATTAGAACTTCTATGCCAGGCCAGCGCATAGCAGCAGAATTATCATACAATGGGGCATCACCACGGCGATATGGGTCTATCGCAGGATGCATAGCAGCAGGGTGAACAGCCATTTCCTTTTTCACATCACGTAAAGCATCAGGTTTAGGTTCAACATGGTGATTGGAGTAGGAGTCTCTTGTTAACATGGGAGGTCTTAAATCTTGACTATGGGATGATTCTTTTGATCGTAATGGATCTATTGACCCCAAACTGGATTTAGGTATACTCCTATGTAAATCATTCAATGCTTCATGGTTCCTATAATACTCCTTGTAAAGATCACTTTTATCAGCTACCGTCAGTTTATAATGATCTTTACTAAGTTGGTTGAGATATGCTTGTTCTTTCTCGCGATTACGACGCATAAGTTCTTCCCGGTCGCGCTGTAACTGACTATGAGCGCTATTCAAAATATATTTGGCATTGCTGTCTAATTGTTGTCTAGAATTTTCAACTGCAGTTCTAGAGTTCTCCCTAGCTGTTCTAGAATTTTCACCAACATTTCTAGAATTTTCTCCAGCTGATCTAGGATCAAGAGGAGATCTATGGAGGTCCAAGGGTGATCTATGACTCTCATGGTTGTTTCTTACATCGTTGGCATTTTGACGCTCATCCCCCAAAGACCTTTGGCTTTCAAATGTATTCCTATGGCTTTCTAGTCCAGCTTTATGGCTTTCTGGGAAATTTCTCGATGTTTCTGGCTTAACATGATTTACAGCGATTTCATCTCTTGGGCTCTTTATTCTGCTGTGGTCTCTACTCGAGTAATTATTCATTTCTATGTCTCTATATTTGGGCTTATATAAATCATTTGTCTCTTTCTTGAAGGAATCCCTATTGTATCGATTCTCTCGTATCAAACTCTCCCTATATTCCTTCAGAATGGTTTCTTTGCTGTAGTGTGAGTAGAGATCGGGTGTGCTAGGGATGTCAGTCTTGTTAGGGGTTGTCTCCCGGGTGTGTGTGTAGCGGGGAAGCTGTTCCAAACTATACCTCACCGGGTCAGTTCTCCGCTTATCTGACTGACCTAGAAATCAAATTCATTTAAAATTGTTAAATATATCAAACTCCATTATAAATGAATGTACAAATAACATAAAATGGTAGTGAATATTTTATTTTCCAGAAATAAAAAAATGCTTTCACAATTTAATTGTATCCTCGACACATGCTTTTCATATGTGAGAATGAGATCAAATGTTTTACAGTGATTTAAATGAATTGAACCAAAAAGTGTTTTATGCAATACCGTGACATTACTTACAATGCCAAATCTTATTATGCCACTACTTACTATTTGCTATCTGTAGTCTCGTTGATTGCAGGACAGACTCATGAAACTCTTGGGCAAAGTCTCGAGGCATCACACGATTCTTTTCTCTTGATTCTGGAAATATCACTGCCCGGTTTTCCAACTTTCCTTGTGAGTGGTTGCTATGGGGAGATGAGCTCTCTGAGTTGCTTCGATGACTGACACTGTTGCTATGGAGATGGTTCTGATTTGAAGAGTGGGAAGGAGCACTAGTTGTAGCACGAGATGAGTTGTTGGATATATTATGGTTGTTATGGGAAGGGTTACTTGTGGGTCGAGATTGTTTACTCTGAGAGGGTAACAACTGGTTGTTATAGGGATATGTATGGTTGCTAGGTGCTTGAGATTGTTTACCATCACCTTTAGAAAGGTCACTACTGATACCAGGACGGTTGTTATAGCTTTGAGATTGGTTACTTTGAGGGATGGAGTGGTTGCTATGGAGTTGTTGCTGGTTGCCATGGGGATGAGAATGGTTGCTATGTGCATGAGACTGCTGTTGTTGGGCTCTCTGAACCTCTAAATGGCGCTTCTGAAGTTGTGCTAGAGAGATCTGCTTCTTTTGTAAAGACTCTTCAGTGGCAGATTCACCATCCACTTTCCTCTTTGTACCAATCACAGGTTTTTCATCTGAACAAATAAAAATGAAGACTTTTAACTTGTTTATGAGCCACAATTCACCATTAACATCAATTCATATTGTTTTTCAATTTTATATTTCAAAGTGTTCAACATTATAAGTGCAATAAATGTTGAGAAAGACAACTGAATACTATTATTTCATTTTCTTTTACAGATTTCATCGACATGAATAACACTACCATTACTGTACTACTGCAATCGCATATTAGAAATACCATTGAGAAGCAAACCCCTGAATAGAAACCCATGGCAATGTCTGTATTTGTTTAATTAAGTCAACATAAAATGCTGACTGGATACAGCAAAATATCTGAAAATGTCTGAGAGAAATACATCAGCTAATGAGCTAGAGGTAGAAACAGGCTTTTATTGCACAGGCAAATTGCATTCTGGGAAATTACATACCTTTCTGCTTTGTTGAATTGTGGGCTGGTGCCTTCTCCACAGGGTGAAGTCCTAGTCTTCTACGTCTCTCTTCTAAGCATGCTTCTTGTAACTCACCCAGAACTGGAACAAATTTGATTATTAATAATCTTTTTAATTCAATGTACTCTTTATATATTGTATAAAAGCAGAATATGACAGAAAAGCAGAATATGACAATTTAGGGTTCAAATCAGTTACTGTGTTATTTTCCTCCTTATGCTGAAAAAAATTTGATCAAAAGTAACTGGCTTTGGTAAATACAAGGCAAGAAATTAACATGCAAAATGTCACCAACTGCCATTTGTTACAAACGCAATGTTACAGGTGCCGAATGCCATCCACAAAAAGTTGGAGACTATAACAACATGTCACCATATTGGGGTGGTAAAATTGCTTCCTAGTGAGTACCCTGTATTTACAGTGTATGCTGATGGTTGCATGGTATATGATGAGAATACTGTATTTACCTTTTCTCTCATCACTTGACACTTGTCTGAGGCCCAACATGGCTAGATAACTACGTTTATAGTGTACATCTGTCTCCCAGTTCAACTCATCTGGGGTGTAACTCGATGTCAGGGGGCTCATGGGGGGTTCCTCTGGTTCTGCTAATTCAACTGGGCTCACACTTGGCTCCCGGTAGATCTTTCGTCTCTTTCTTTTATGTTGGAATTCTATATCTAAAATGTAAATGTATGATTTGAGTGAAATATAAGGCCCTGAAACTTGTATAAGCTTTAAATTTGGCTTCAAATTTAACCTTATGTCTTTTTTGAAGTTGACTTTGACTTTCAAATGTGAATATAACTCATTTTCTACTTTATAAACAATACAATGGCTAAAGGACGGTAGATAATATCTAATTATCCCACCCTAAGTGCTTTATATGATTGTATAATAGCATTGTATAACTGCAATATAAAACCAACACTCATCGTATACAACTCTTGAGAACGATATACAACTCCTGGATAGCGTATACAACTCCTGGGCAGCGTATACAACTCTTCGACTTGATATACAACTGCTGAATTTAGATTAACCTTTTATTGATTAAAGATAAGGGTGGGATAATAAGATCATATAATGGTTGATTCTGTATATCGTTATACTCTCGTGAGTATATGATATATTCACTCGTTCCCTTCAGTCACTCGTGAATATATCATATACTCACTTGAGTATAAACACGATATACGAAATCAACCATTATATAACCTCATATCACTATTCAAGTTGTCAAAAGTATAAAACTGTACCTCTTTTCTTAGCTTGTGTAGCTAATCCTATGGAATTAAACAATTTTAACTTCTGGGGGGATTTCTCCAGTTTCATCGGAGGTCCAGATGCAACAAGTAACAACTTTTGTCTTTTCTTCTCACCTTCACTTATGATTGAGTCTGTGTCGCTACAGTTTTCATCATCGCTTACGTAAGTGCCATTTAACCTGAAATATAACATTCAAATTATTTGAATGATTATTTTTGCTTGTTTCATCAATATTTCTTTTGTAGTTCTATCTTACACAGGCAAAACCTCACATAGCATTCCCCTATTATCAGTTTCTCTCACATAGTTTTAGGCCTTGCATCCAAGACGGAAATGTTTATCTTATTTTTACATAGCATATACTTAAAGATTCTCGCAATCTTTATCCAATCAGCGTTTGCGATGTGTACCGGCTCACGTATAAAAGGCGAATCCAAGTCAAATCCATGCAGGGGTGTATGAGGTACTCGAATAAGAAAGAGCTAGTGAAATCTGAATTTATATGCACATGGTCAATGTTTACACATGTTTGGAGTTATTGAAGAAAATGTGATATGGGGGTGGTTCCGAATTTGAAGTCATTGTTGGAAAATATGATTTTAATACGTGAAATTATATCTATAAATACAGCACTAAAATAACAGTACACCTGAAGTACATGTATGATTGTGTCCAGAAATGTTTGAAACCCTTACAGAAAATACGTTCTGCATTTTGTCACCATTGCTCTTTCTTCACGCATTCTAGTGCTGTTTGAATGAATATGTTTATTAATGTATTTCCAACTAAAATATATCACATTTTTTTATAAACCACAAACATTTAGATCATAAAAAAAATTATTCAATACTTGAGTGAGCACGATATGCAAGGGTTACTAAGTTGACACAGTAAATGACCACTGACATTGTGTTAGTCCATGCACACAGCGTATTCTGCTAATACACATTTGCCTTGAACACCCCTAACTTTCACAGTGAAGTGATCGTCTGACTAATTGGTTTATGTTTACGTTTTAATGTGTTTTGTGTTCCTTGTAACAGCAAGGGGGGCCAGTAAAGTAGACTAACATGTTTGCATGGCAAATTTTGATCGAATATGTGAGACACTTTAATGCAATCTTTTTAGCGAAAAGATGGAGATAACTGACCCTTGTAAGGAAATTGAAATTTACATGAAACAAATATCTGGTCACCATGATGATTAAAACTGCAATATTCAACTTATGGCGTTACAGTACAAAATACCAACCTTGCTTCTCGGATTTCTTTCTCTTGGAGATCTAATTTACTGACACCAGGCTGTGAAGGGGCTTCAGCACTTAACATTTTATCATATTCCTGAGATGAAGGAGCCCTTTTAGGAAGACCCCTTATACTAGCATCAATACTGGCAGGTTCGTTATATCTGAGATCAGTTGGTTTTACATCTGTGTGCTTGTAAGGCTTGAGAGGGTAGCCAGATATATATGGCTGGGCAGAGATCATGTTGTTGAGAAGGGGTCTTTCAGTATCACTAGGGGGCCTTTTAATCTGTGCGTCTGCATGATGAGCACGTTGATGCTTTAAAAGTCCCAGGCCTTCTGTGTGTTTATCTTTGTGAGATCTGCTTATTTCTGACTTTGGTATATCTAATTGACTTGGATGTTTAACACTGTCCACATGGTTATGCAGTAGTCTTGCATGATTATACAACGCTCGGTCCTCTGCAAGAATCTTCTCATTCATAAGTCTGCGTTCATACTCCATTAAGCCTTTCTCGTCATATCCATTTTTAAGACCCTTTTCAAATGGTCTATAGAATTCCGAATTCACAGATGTGAGTTTATGATTATTTTCAGGTTTTGATGATAATATTGATGAATGTAAACTATAGATGTCTCTATTGTCTGTGTGATTTCGGTTGCCTAGTGACAAATCTTTGGCCAATGATGACTGGAAAAAACAAGAAAACACAATCTACATGAAGATGAGACCAGTATGAAGGCGCACACTTTAACTACCACACTCAAGGAAAAATATCTATCTGCCCCTACATCTTTTATTAGTTACATACTTAAAAGAATCATAAATAAGAAATTGATTGCTTATTTAGTGACATAGCATTGGATTAAAACATGTTACAAGAATTACAGTGGAGTTAGTGTGCTTCTGAAGTATCTTTGTAGATGTATCCAATGAAATCTCAAAAATGTGTTTAACTGTGACTACTTTGGCACATTATACTCCATTAGAAGAATGTTTTACTCACTGAACTGTGTTCTTGAGATCTTTTGTCTGAATCACGATTTTCATATTTTTTCTCATCACGATTCATTTTACTGGCCAACCGCTGTTGCTCCTGGATACGAGCCTCTTCTTCAATTTTGCGCATGATTCCAGTTTCTTTGTGATGGTTGGGAACTCTATAGTCGAATGGTGTTCCTTGTGTTATAGAGCCTTGTTGAGCTGCAAAGCAGAATACTAGGCTAATTGAGATAACATGTGTATTTGTTTTGCAAATGTCTATTGCATATAGAGCAATGTACCCCAGGCTCTATTTTACCACTTTACCATTTTAAGGAAGAGCGTGGAGGGGGTGGAATAATAAAACATGAACTTAATTGAACGTATAATATAATATAGTAACATGATATACAAGAATGTTGTACCTAAAGGGAGTTCTTCATATTTGGAGGTTCTAGGGAGCTCTTCATATTTGGAGGTTCTGGGGAGCTCCTCATATTTGGAGTTTCTAGGGAGATCTTCATATTTGGATGTCCTTGCAAGCTCTTCATACTTGGAGGTTCTTGCAAGCTCTTCATATTTGGAGGTTCTTGCAAGCTCTTCATATTTGGAGGCTCGAGGACTATGATGAATTGGACTTTGTCGAGTTTCTCTACTGATTGTTTCTCGATCTCTCTCATGTTCTGCCTCTCTAAGGAGAAGACTGTTACGTCTTTCTCGATCTCGCTCATATTCTCTCGTTCTCTCAGTTTCTCTCATTCTTTCTGAATGCTCACGGTCCTCACGTCTTAGTTCCTCACGCGATCTTGGCCTAATGAAATGTTAAGTTTAAATTATTAAAAGCAGGAATGAGGTCAACATATCATGATACTTCACAAATGCAATTGAGTTACATGTTAGCCTAAAGAAACAGGTAAAACAAAGGCCAATTGCGTTTGGAAATGATAACTTTTAATACAAACCAATGGATGTTCAGTTACATTTTTGGAGGTTTTGGAGCCAATTTGAATTGCTATATTTTTCGACAAAATCAAAATATTAACTTTGACACTTAAAGTGATAATGCTATGAATATATTTAAAATTTATCATAAAAAAGCATTACTATCACCAAATAACATCAAAAACATCAATATCACCAAATAGCATTACAAGATAAAAATCAGATTTTATATGATCATAATTTATCAGTTATAAATCAATTATCTTTGTCTCACCTTTCCACAGTAGACGCCCCCGGTGACCTATGTTCTGTTGGGGGTAGAAGACCTGGTGACATCATAGCAAGCTGTTGTCTTAGCAACTCGGGAGGGTAGGCTGCGGCAGCTGAGGGATGCATCGGGAAAAGGCCAGTAGGCGGAAGGAAGCCAGGATGGCTATAGGGCATGAAAGGTGGCGCCATCATACGATATCTCTCCAGTAATAGTGGGTCACTACATAATAAAAGATAATAGAATAGAATAAAAACAAGATACATTTAAATATCAGGTTTAATATGACACTCCAGACAACATGCAAATTATGTGATTTGGTTTGAAATCTGTTTTAAACAAAATGATGAAAATTATTCTGACATAGCTGTCATCCTTGCAATACATGCCTTGTAATACATTTTAAAGGCTGCCATGTCTAGGTCATATGGGTGAGAGACTGTTTCAACACATACCTGAAAGCTGCCTGATGCTGTAGGGCTTGTTGCGCCATGAGGGCCTGGTGGTATGCCAAGGCTGCAGGGTCTAGAGCATATGGGTGGGGGAATGTGGGTGGACGGAACTCCTCCCCTGGGCGATAAGGCTGGAACCCCCTGAACATGGGATCTTCACGAGTAGAGCTGCTTGGAGTGGCCAGACTTGAGATTGAGAAGGGAGTAGGACTGCAAACATAAAAGTTTAAAATTAAATTTCATAAAGACAATATGAGAGTTTACAATATAAATGTATTACAATCTACATTTATACATCCCAAATCACATAACATAACATTTTCGTTTTGGTCTCCAAACCAACACTTTAATCAAGAAATTATACTCATACCGTAGCTAGTACATGAACTTGCTCAGACATTAAGTTAAAAAAATTTCAGTGAACTAATTTCAAGACATGGGTCTGTGGTTTACCACTGTATTGACCCTTGGGCTAATGATGGCTGGCGGATACATGAAGAGCAGAAGGGCACAAGGGTTAATTGAATTTGAACGAACTGGAAGTGGAGTGTCCAATTTACAAAATACAAAAATTGTGAAAAGAGGCTTCTTCTGAGAGCAACATTCAAGACATCATCCAATTCAGTTGCAATACAAAGTAGATGATGTCTAGTCTAGAGCCCTTTGTTCAAATGATGGGAAATGGGAATATCCATAAAGCAACAAACAGTTCTACTATATACATTGTACCATAGATATTTAAAGACTCAGATATACCCGGATCTGATGCAGAAGTTGGGCATAAGAACTCTGGAAACATATCCTATTTAAAGGGAAGAAGTCAAACTCTTCAGGGAAAAGTAACTCAAAATTGTATAACCTACATTCATTCATGAAATAGGCACCTGCATAGCAGACTCACATATTTAAGTCTGCTCACATAGCAGGTATGTGGTTAACCACTATAGGTGTATTAAAAACACCCATGGCTAGAGAGCCCTGTACAAGTGTACATGTGAGCATTTGTGGTTAATAGACTTTGTCTCCATATTTTCCTCATGACCTCTCATTTGAAACATCAGATTGACAGGTCAATTGAAAAATATATAAAGTGACTGAGACTCAACATGAAGGCTGCATTCTTTTCAAACTTTGTTCGTACTGTAAATTTCGATGAGAAAAGCTGGAGGGGGATCTTTTAATACAATGTTATTTGAATAATTAAAACTAACGTTGCCATCTGTGATAATGAAAATTCTTAGTTTTTTTAAACTGGATAACATGGAATGTAATATTTTTACACCCTTATTTGATAGATGTCTCACCAACATGTTACACCTGTTTTGATTCTATTTTCTGCGTTTTATAGTTTTTAATGTTGTTGTTAAATATTGTTAAATAACTAATTTTCTAATTCTTAAAATAGATTTATCATTATCAATCATATTATTTTTCTGATCCTCCCTCCTTCCCAATTACTGATTTCTCATTCACAGCAACCCTTTTCAAAAATTTCATTCTGTGTCTTAAAACGTAAGTTTCAATCTTCATCTAGTGATTATTATTATTAGTCAGGGTAATTCACAGAGTACCTCTGAAATATAATCTCAAGTGTAAATAGTAAGCATAAAAAACAGATTCAACCTGTGATTCCAGGTAGTATTTAATGTACCCCCAGGCAAATTCCTTAAAAGCAACTCCAATCCAAGATGTCAAACATAAATGATATTCAGCTGCTTCACATTATGGAGCATCCTTAGAGCTATTATGAATACTCAATTATTATATTCTAGCTTTTTAATTATTATGAACAAAAAGAAGCGTATATGACCTGGTCTTATTACTTTAAACACATACAACTGTTTGAAAGTGATTCCATAGAATATCTTATAGTCAAGAGGCAAAATGAGCTCCCTGTTGAAACATTTCACTTGTCAGGAAGTCTCAGTTTTGTTTTTATGAGTTCAAGTGTCTTATCTACCAGCAACCCACATATGGTACATGTCCGTAAATTAATTGAAGCAAAAGTTAAGAGTTCTGATGCCAGTCCCACCCAATTTCTGGTACTATTATCTCCAAAGAAAGGAAAATGGTCAGGTATAAATATACTGCAAATGGAGACTCTCAAAATGAATTTCTGAAAATCATATGATATTGCCTCACTGGTTGAGACTACGTACCCTTTAGGAGTGGTTTCCCTTGCCCTTTCTTCCTCACGAGGCGACACTGAATGAGTTTTATGATCTCTGTCTGTGATTGATGATGAGCTGCTATGACGACTGATTACGCTGGATCTCTCTAACGCCTACAAATACAAAATGTTAACAATGAAGACGATTTCTTGCATTGAGTTGAGGGTTGACACTGAACGCTTCTATGTTAAGTTTAGGAATACTACGAGTTACTATGGATTTTTACTAGAAATGCTGGAGCTTAATTTAGAAGTGTTCAATGTCATTCTCAACACATGCATCACAGAGCATCTAATATAAACTGTATTTTCCCAAGACCAAGTCAGCGTATTACACTCACCAAATGAACTACAAGTCTTCAACAAGCAATGGATAGAATCAAATCAATGAAATATTCAACAATGAAAATGCCTGCACATTACACAATGCACTCAAAGGTTTTACGAGGAACTGTTTAACCGAACATCCTGTGATATGAGTAATTTCTGACTAGAACACCATTTGTATGCAAGTCAGGTTTCTGAAGCCGTTGCCTTCTCTGTCAATTTCACAATTAGAGACTATAGAGTAAATGCTCATGTAGACTGTCTGTCAATATCAAATACTCATCGTAATCATTCAGAGAAACTTAGGAGGAAATCTAATAACATTGAAAATTGAGCAGAAATTGCATTGAAGGTGGGGCAAAACTTAATCAATTATTTTCTAATAGCTTCAGACATTTACTGTTTTTATGACGTTACAGCTCAGTTCACATTGACCTTGACCTTGATATTGCCTCCTCTTTTGGGAAAATACAAGAAGGATTGGCTCCCAGGGTTCCAACACAATATTCTGCCATATATGGAGATGTCCTGATTACAAAATTCGAATTCGAACAGCTGTCATTTTGTTGACACTTCACAATTTGAATCGTGAGTTTTTGTCTTATTTCCTAACAAAAAAAATTCCAAAACACACAAGAAGTGATTGAGTAATTGGTTCGAATCTTTTGGACTGTCGATTATGAATATATAGTTAGATAATGTAAGAAAATAACAACATTCTGACATTTTCATTGTTGGAATTTATCGAGTTGCGTCACTGGGAGCCAATCCTCCTTTGGTGAAATATTTAATATATTCAAAACGTGTTTTTAGACATTCTGATCCTCAAAGCATCTTTCTTTCTTTTAATAGATATGTGATTCTAAATGGCAATATTACCATAGTAATCTATGATGGCTTTTGGAGTATTTTGGAAAAAATGAGAATTTATTACCCATTTCATTACACAAACTCATGCTTTAATGGTTAATAAAGTAGAATGGTTACACTGATTATGGACTCCAGTGAGGCAGAATGCCAAGATTTTGCAGTAAAACCTGTATATTAGAACACCTTTCTAATCCAAACACCTCTCAATGTGAACATCTTTTTCTTAACTTCTTTTCAATCTGCCATATAGATTTCCATGTCAAAAAACCTTGAAATGTGAACACCTGCCGATCTGTACAGTTTAGGCAAGTTCCCATGGCATTCAGATTAGATAGGTTTTACTGTATTTGTTATGAATCAAGACCACTCAAGTTTGCCAGGGAGACTACATTATCATACCTTAAACATACTACCTTGCCAAAAGCAATGCTCTTAGGTGTGAGAATATTTCAAGATGTTCAATTAACAGGCATTAAGCACTTTGCATGTAGTACACAATACATAATAATATATTACATGTCTTGCTGAGTTCTTTTGATCTCGGCTAAAAAGGGGTGCGTAAGAATTATGAGCCACCCTTTCATGAAGCAGAAATTTGTACAATAGCTATACATCACAACAGCCACAATACAGTTTCCTGCAATGATTTATATCTATTAATTAGTACAAATCACAAGAATGCAAAAAGATGAACATGTGTTCGCTTACAAAATTATCACTCTATTATTCAAGATATAAGAGCACCTCCTACAGAGTTAACACACTACTGAACAATATATAAGTATGTCATGTGGGATTGTTAATGTAAAATATAAGAAATATAATTGATGTGGGTTTTATGCAAAAAACGCATTACTGTGTACAAGAACAAATGTTACATTAATCAGTAAAGGTAATGTGAGATATTGCTTATTGTATTTCAAAGCTTGCAGGTTGGAATGATATAAATGTATATGTCAAAATAAGTTTCCCCTCTCAATATGAAACAACCCAAGATAGAATTTTATATTTTTTGAGAAATCAAATCACTGTCATTCCTTTTCAACATTGATTTGCATTTAGCATCATCAATGTTCTCTTACAATTGACGGCTAATGAGATGGGATGAAATATGCCACCTGTAATCAACTGTAAGGGACAAGTATCATACCTTGGCTGCAGATTCATGAGGATCCTGTAATATATCAAGCTTTGTAAAATCCCCATTGACATTAAAAGCTCCAAGACTGGGCTCCTGTGTAATCTGAACATCACATTTCAAAGTTGTCTTCTCAGATATATGACTACTACTCAATCCTGATGTGTTCCTATTAATATCCCTTGCAGCAAATACTTCAGGATGTTTCATAGAAATGTCACTATATTTGAAGTCTCTAACATTGATCAAGTTACAATCATTTTGAGAGAGTATCTCCATTTTATGCTTTGCTATATATCTTGTGTTGTAATTTTGTTGAAATCTTGTTCCATGTAGCAAGCACTCTTAGTCATAATTTACTCATAACATTTTCCAGTCAGTTAGTAATAAAAAATCTCTATTACTCATATTCTCTGGATTAGATAGCACTTTGTCCAGGAATCTAACAAAAATGTCAAATCAATAAAAATTCTAATGTTACCCAATATGTGAGATTCGATGCAATGTTATTGATGTTCATTTAAAACAATGACCTGCTCAACCCGGCAGCAATCACACAAGGCCAATAGTAGCAATTAATAATTAATGACTTTCATAGGAACTAACAGTGTCATAATAATACACCAGAAAAATGAGTAATCAAAACCAAATAAAAATACACTGTATTTTGAGCTAGAATAACTATGCAAAAACATACCATTGTAAAAACCAAATAATAACAAAAAATGAGTATAATTTGAATTTTGTATTAAAATAAAAAAAAAGAGAAAATCAATAAATTGCAAGGGGTCGAAAGTGAGAGTAATCAGAAGTAATTAGCATTATAGAACATTAAGTATGTCATTATCATTAAGTCCAATTATGTCTTGTCCATCTGCCTTCATGGCAGGGTGGGACAAACAAACTGTCCAGTGTTTGCTAATTATATTGCATGTTAAAAACATTGTTTGATATTTTGCTCACACGTTGAGCTCTTTAATTATAATGTAGATCATGTGACACTACCAGGAAAGAGCTGGTAATAAAGTCATCTAATTGAAGGTTAAACCTATTGAGGGTCCAAATTTTACAATTACAAAATATGATTATTATGTTCCAATGAAGTTTGAACTACGACTCTGGCCAGAATTATAACATGCAATTATCAAAACATTAAAAGGGATATCTATTTTTGCATCATGTTACGACTTCTTTCTCAGGGAAATTATACAACCTGGGCCAGGGAGCTAGAATACTTCTGAATACTTCTGATTAGTGTTCAGATTCAACTTGAAATGAACAGATCTGCAGGTGGAGTCCTACTTTATTGCATTGTTAAGTGCAATGAAACACCATGCCTTGATAGAAACAAGATATCAGTTCATTCAATATTTATGACTTATACAAAATAGACAAAATGTCATAATAAATTATGCTGGTTTGGTAATTGATGGTTTATTAATTCCTGTCTGCAAACAATATAACTCTGTATATGTGAGAAATTTTGTTTATCTTAATCAAGGTATGAAGTTTTCACACCAGTGTGTTCAAAACTGTGATTAAGATCAAACAGGTAAGCAAGTATGAATATGACAGATGAATTATGTTTTTTTATTACAATGGTTTTGGAAGGGAGAAAAGGGGCGAGGGTACAATAGGATGACATGAAGGGGGAGAGGGCTTGACAAAGAGAATTCATGAAATAGGAGAGGGAATGGGAGAAAAGAGGGCATGCGAGAGGGGAGGGCATAAGAGAATAGAGGACATGAAAGAGGTTAGGGCATGAGAGAGGATATAGCATGAGAGAGGAGTGGTCATGAAAGAGGAGAGGGCATGAGAGAGGAGAGGACATGAAAGAGGATAGAGCATGAGAGAGGAGTGGGCATGAGAGAGGGGAGGGCATAAGAGAGAAGAGGACATGAAAGAGGATAGGGCATGAGAGAGGATATAGCATGAGAGGAGTGGGCATGAGAGAGGAAAGGAATTTTGAGGAGAGAGAAAACAACAAAAGAGACAAAGAGGGAACGGCAATAGTATTGGAGTCTGAGTTCCAGGAAAAGGCTTGAAGTCCTCCAAAAGGTCTTTATACTTTGGAGGTGTAGTATATGGGGAGGAGATCCAGAAACTTCATGCAACTTAACAAAAGCAATGAGGTCTCTGAGTATGAGCAGATAGTAGAGCTATACGATTAATACAAAGACTTGGAACTTCTTTTGATAACTTAAATGATAGATAAATGGGATGGATGTTTCCATAACGATTTGATACATAATGCTCATTATCAGCTACAGTATATAATATGATCTCTGGGTATGTAAGATTCATTTAATCATTCATATCATGTTAACAACCTGTCATACTAGTTACATGGACTAAATGATGTAACATGTTGTTATAATAGTAACATACATTCAAGTAAATGATTCTTAGAAGAGGTCAAGGTCAGTGTCAAGGCCAGATCTTATAATATTGTTATGAATGGTAATTTGGTGGATTACAACCACATCTGTAATTTTGAGTCAATTTATAGAATTGGTATCTACCCTCTTGAATGAGAAAAGGGGTACTCTATCATCAGTTTTTGGTTTTTCTTTCCACATAGCATATCATTATGTTACTCATACCTTTCTATCATGGCTCAGAGAGAGACTGTTGTGGGACGGTGTTGGTGCTATGGTTACCACAGGAGGTGAAGTAATACTGGATGATGATTGGCTATGACTGTTGTATACTAGAGGAGGAGGGCCTCGTTTGGGGGTAGATTCTCTTGGACTTGTAGTACTCCCTTGAGGTGACACATCACGTTCCCTTGCTGCTGCTTCACGAGCATCTGAAAAACACCATATATGGACATTTTAGTAATGAAATATTAGTAACGATAATACAACTGTAAAACACCAAATATTGGCATTTTAATGATAAAATTATATCTAAAAATACTACATTTGGGCACTTAAAAATTCCATCTGAAAAACAACTTAATTTGGCATTTTGATAATGAATGAGAATATTAATATTGAGATTTTAGCACCTATCAGTCCATATTTTCATAAAATTCAAGTTAATGCAAAACAGTGATTAATAGACTGGTATTAATTGCATTCTATTTCCAACTTTTGTGCATGCATTTTCAGTGAATATTGATCAGATCCAATGCACCTGAACACACATTAATTACAAGATTCATTGGTTTATTTCCCTCTCTGATAACAACCACGTTTCTCATGATTTATTGTTTATGGTTAATCATAAATGCACAGAGATAAAAATAATTCCTGATAAATTGTGTACATGCACTATAGAATTTCTGCTTTAGATAGCTTGGTTATCTAGCAATCTAGCAATTGTTCCGATCCAATCCAATCCAATCCAATTTATGGTAATTATAATCATATAATGTGCACTGTGTTAAGGATTTCAGCTTTGGTTGTTTTTAACATCCAGGCACTCAAAAAACTACTTTAAACTTTTATTAAATATACAGATGTCGCGACTCATACTTTTGAAATATAATTAATTTTTTCTGGTAGCCCTAAACAGAATATCCTTAAAACCCCTTATCATCCATCAAAAATAAAATCAAAATATAAACTGCTACAATTAAATAAAGTATAACAGAAAGGTTCAACGGAGCTCTCTTTCAAACAATCAGAATAAATAGTGATGAATCGTAAATTTACTTCACACTGAAAATATAATATATTTCAACCCTTCCGGGAAATATGAACTGATATCCTGAACCCAAAAATTGAAATACTGAGTTTTTGATGTACAGCCCTCGATCTCCTCTTGTTGACAATGGTATTGGTAGCAGATTGTTTAATACACACGATCTGAGATAAGAGATCATAATTTACAACACCACTTAATATTACAAGCAATGTTATATTTGATGTAAATTCAGATTATTTCAGCCTTTGTCAATTGAACTCAGGAATGACTGCTGAGGTATTGATTTAAAACAATGACAATAATAAAAAATGAACTTGTATTTTTGTGTTCTGTTGCGTTGTGTCAATTTTTAACTTGAGACCAGCCTAGAAGCATGGACTTGCTGCTTGCTCTTCAAGTGCCCTGAAGAGGCTCGATGTAATATTCCAAATGATGGAAGACCTCTTTTGGGATATTTTGAAAAGGGTACTTTCAAAGGGTTGGAAGACTTTTACCATCAATCTATCTTCTCCCTCTTATATAGGCCAATCTCTTTCTTTTAAGATCATCTCCCTCTTATATGATTATAACCCTCTAAATACATGATTATCTCCCTCTTATATAGGTCAATCTCCCTCTTATATGATCATCTCCCTCTTATATAGGTCAATCTCCCTCTTAGAACATCTCCCTCTTATATAGGTCAATCTCCCTCTTATATGAAAATCTCCCTCTTAAGCAAGTCATGTGGGCTTTCCAATGTTTCAAATACAATATAGAATATTTTCTATGCTTTGAAAATCTTTAAGCAGCTGTTGTAGAAGGTTGCAAGAGTATTTGGCTCTTGTTTGATGTTTGAGGGCATTACAATTGTGACTGCTGGGTTAAACATTGTCAGACATATGGAGAAGTATTGATTTATAGTGAAAACATTTGTAGATACTGCCGCTTCCTGTTATAGCATGCGTTCAACAAGAAATACCAAATATGGACGGTATTGATTCTTATATTATGTCAATATTGTTTAATGGATATTTTTTCTATTTTATTAAAGATTTATATTGCAAGGTGTAGTGTTGTTTTGATTCAAAGGTCAAACAATGCGATCTAAGGTATTTTGAAACTACCCACTGTGAGCAAATATAATAGTAATTTTAATATGAAATCTTTCACAAACCAGGATTTCAGTGAGAATGATCTTGTGATCTAATGAAGAATCACCTTTCCAAATGAGATCTTTTAGTCTTTCAAAATCTGATCTAGCTATAGGAAACAATTGTTTACCAAATGTTGTGACATTGAGTCAATAGGCTCATCATAGTGATGTAGCATTTCTTATGCATATATGATTCTCTATCATGTATCTTTTTGCATTCTAACAAAGGCAGATAGCAATGAACATGACATTATGTCCTATGTCATGATCGAGTGCAAGTGTTCTTAAAGGACTCTCATACATGGTCTCATAACCATTGAATTGCTGAAATCCAAAATCAGCTTGCATAAGACAGATACACGGCTGCTCATGTAGGCTTATGTAACAATTAATAGCCTAATCATTATTTATAAGACTTCGATTGACAAAAACAAAGGCGCACCTATTTGTAATCCCGTACCTACCTTTAGCTTTTAATTTGAAATAATGTACCACCATATTGGCAATGATCTTTGACTAGATAATCCAGATTAGTAAATAATTAGTTAATTGGTTAATCCATTGTGTGCTTATTAATCCGTGAGATAATCCATTTTGTCCTAGTATTAGTGGAATCCTATCATAATACCTCCTGTATTATATACAGTCACTGCAGACATTCTAAAGATTCCAACCAGCCCAGATTAATATTGTCTCTTTTTGGAATTTAATAACAAATATTCAACTGTTTTCAGCTGTTTTGTTTTCATAAGTACCCTCATAGATTGCTCAATCAATTTTCTGGTTGCATTTGGTTTACATGAAAGGTTATTGTTAATGAGTTGTGTTTGATTGAGTGTTCTGGAACACCTGTTTGTTCTTCATTGTTGCCAAGACGACCTCTGCCATCTGTCAGCAGACGGAGAGCGGTCTCGAGGTGAATCCTGCACAGCACATGATTACATCACACTGACAACAAGCAATAGATACCCATTATTATTTTCTACCCTTTTCAATTAGTGACCTCCACAGCCTTGCATGCTCGTATAACACATACACCTCTGAACTCTGAACTTCCAAAACTATTCATAAGCATGTTTCTCGCCAAAGACATTTCTCAATATAAAACATACAAAAATGTAAGCATGGCTCTGTATTTCTCCCTGGTTGGTTAAAAACAGTTGAAGTCAGTGTGTAATATACTAACCTAAAACCCAGGGTACCATTTTCAAAATTATACAACTTTCACTGATTAAGTTCATTCTCTTCTATTGGTTATCAACAATTACACACACAATACAAAACCTACAATACAACCCCTACAATAGCTAATATATACTAATTACGTAACCTCATAAATTGGCAACATACGTCATTCATAATTGTTTTCACTTCTGCAGACAATTTGCAATATCTGATTTCTCCCTTATAATTGAGTTACCATAGAGAAAATAGAAAAAGTACAGAAACGAGCGATTGTAAATGACGGTTCATTCATAAAATGTTAATCAATGAAAAAATCACGCGAGTCATTAAAGCTTAAAGAGGAAAAAATGATTTATCCATTTCTGCAGGAAATCATTTCTGAACAATAAATAGTAGAATATTTAGAAACCCTATCTTGATATATCCTCCATATTTCATATAACCTGCTTGGTGATACAATCTTTAAACACCCATGATGCACTTCTAGCTTCTAATTCAATTGTTTTTAATAAATACAATAACAATTCTAAAAATCCTTAAAAGACTTCAACAAAACATGCGTTCAAGGGAATTAAGCAACAAATCTTGTTTATGGGAAGAACAAGGAGATTAATTATTCATAAAGAGGGGTGAACTATTACCCTTACATATGATATATAACATTTCAATACTTACACCAAAATGTAGTGAAACACATGTAAAATACATGTACACTTGGTGCTATATCTATGAGTACATCACATGTGATGAGAATCAGTTATAACATCAAACATTTTTCATTTTGGGAATATCACTGAATTGAAAGACTTCATTGGGAAGCAATGCAATGTGAGAGATCACCTATTAGTTGGATATTGATCAAGACATATTATAATAGCCATGCTAAACCTTAATCAACAGTAATGGCTCAGCACAATAGACTTAATAGCTCTCTGTCACATTGTGTTACACTTCCTCCCCATTTAGAAACAATTCGTCCTCAGAAACAACTAGCAATATTATTTTTCTGATTGATTCAATTGAAAAAGACAGGAACATAACTGTTGTTTTATACATTTTAAAGAGACAAGATTGCAATTGCTTTTACAACAATAAAGAATTCAAAGAATTTTCTAATATGAACTTATGAATTCCAGGGTTCAACCAAATACAATCCCCAAAAAACATCTGCCCAGTTCGTGTCAATAAACCTATTTATTTAATTGACATCTTAGGTCAGGTTCAACTGTTAGGGTTATTCAGTGGTCAAAGGAAATATGTTCTAAATGTACACTCTGAATGACAAAAGGCTGAGGAGGAGGGGGCATGGTTTACATGACCCTATAGGCTCAGGTCACTGGTTAGCATTACTGAGATATTTCCTCCAGGTTAATCAGCTGAATTCCATGTATAATGGCAGGTTCTTTACCATACACAACATCTATTTCAATGCGCTTTTGATATTATAGCTTTATTCATTTTTCATTGTTGTAATCTCTTAAGATATTGTTGTCAGTTTGTACTTTCTCACCTTAATTGTGTTTTTTGTGAATTTTTGAAGAGTTAGAATCAAGGTTAAGACCTCTAGAGTTCAATGGGTTCTATATAATATGCACAATGCTTAAGGAGTAAAAATAACTCAAAAGCATCAGTTCAATAGGTGCTCAAAAATGAGTTATAAGACATTTTCAATTTTACATGTGTCTCCAAGCCAAAAACATCTCACAGATTTCTATTTACACAGAACACAGACAGAATTTGCCTTTGCCTACCAATTTTGTCATATTTTTCTCATTTCATCTAAAACTGCAGAGAAACCATGCAGTTGAACTTTTTCACTTGAAAATCGCAGAACTCAGAATTCTTCATTTCAACTTCCAAATCCACGAGTCCACACAACCCAATGGGTACAATTTATACAACCGCTCTAGCCCTCCCCCCCTTTCCCCATCTGTTTCCCAGGCCTTCTTAAGAGAAAGAATAGGATTTAACAGGAGGGGGTCACGGATTGAAACTGACAATGACGAAGCAATATTACACATGAGGAAAGAAAGAAAACTCAAACTTTTGCAGGACCTAAATTATATACTACATGGCACTTGATGACACATTTTGACACTTAATGACACAATATGACACTTAATGATATATAAGCATTAGATAAACTAGAATGTCAGTCTAACCAATGTCATAATGTCATCAAAACTCCAAATATTTCCACGCCAATCACATGTTCTTTTCAACAATTCACAACTCAAGATTCAACAATATCAACAAATATTTCAATTTTATCTCAATGGGTCAAAGTTTATCTTACAAACCTGTCTGAAGTTTATCAATTGAAAAATACTTGAAGTATGTTTAGAAACAAAGGCATTCTAATTATATTTATATGTACTGGTATGAAGTATGTTTGGTAACAAAGATAATTGAACTGGGATGTTTGACGCGACCTCAACCTGACACCTATGATATGTGAAGTTTATATATGACTCAGCTCAAAACATATTTACAAGTATCAATTCATGTTTTTATTATCAAATATAGAGACAATTTGGTCATATAAAGATAGTCCTTATATTTCACTTCAAAATACATAGTAGCTCAATGTGGTACTCACCATTTATTCATTTACACGTTTAGAAATGTCCTGCTCCCATGAATGCGAATGTTAACTCTTGAGAGACCGACCCAGGTGAGTTATACAGGTGAGTTGTACAGGTGAATTGTACAAGCGACTTGTATATAAGAATGAAGTCAATAATATGTGTTCTGGTTGACTCAAGTGCAACATGAGATCGCTCTAGGAGTGTGAATGTTTTCAAACAAATGATGAATTATAATCATTAATGCAGGAAATGCGCACTTAATGTCACAAAAAACCAAGATATTATCAATCATACAGCACCAACATATTTATACCACATGAACATGATTCTAACAGACGCAATCGCAATCGACTGAATATAAAAAAAAAACAGTACAATAACAGATTCCAGACGCAGGACCACCAAACGAATGAGAAAAACCTGACATAAAACTAAGTAACTCAACATCTGTGATCATATTCTGACAAAGGATGACATACATGTGGACATCACCTGACCCTAACTTGACCAATCGGATCAAGATGGATCAACAGTATATGATGAGGAATCATGGGATGTATGCACCTGCTGTGATATTTAAGGTAGTTTTTGAGTAGAGTGCAAACTGATGATAAGGAATGTAGAAGAGGTTAACTGAATGATACTTCAAAATTATCACTTTGAAATAAAACTGACAACTTTAATACCTTAGATTATGTAGTAATAAATGAGATGTAAAAATCTGCCAAGATATTCTGTAAGATCTATAAACCACTTTATCTTATTGTCATTGACATAGAAATCTGTCATATGTATGTCATATGTATTGTAGCTGTATAAATCCTTGGTAAAATGATATTAGAATATCACTGGTCTCTAGAGTAAAACATAAGTGTTGCTTGTAAAAATCTAAAGTGGAATGAGTCACTCTCATTTCAGCTATATCCCAAATGTAAAAATACCTCTATTTAGCTTAAATTCCCAGGCTTTAATATTTTCCGACAGGGGAAGATTTGTCTTCTCAAACCAGGGCCCCTCTTATTTCATGCTCTGTCCTGCAGTGCCATCTATATGACCCATTGGGTTAGGGCAAGGAAGTAGTTATAAATGAACATTGCAAAGTTTGAAAGGGCTGTGTTATAAGTTATCTGAGAAATCATAAATAACCTTGAGTTCTGAGTTGTGTTTTGGATGGAAAATTTTGATAGCTTTCCCACTCTTATAAGCACTTCCTGGTTATCTGGTTCATGTCCACAAACCCCCCCCCCATCCCCTTCCCAAAAATTATATCACAAAAAACAAAAAAATTGCCAACCTGCTGGTTCAACTGCTTGTTTGGCGAGGTTTCGAAGTCTTGCGGAAAAACTTGAGTTTCTTGTTGCTTGCATTGCCGAGTTGTTTGAACCTAATGATGAGCCTGGTGATATTTGGTTCAAAGGGGGTACCGTAGCTGTTGTCCTTTGGGGCTTCCCATTTGAGTTCATGGCTGTCAGGGGCGGGGGCTTACTTGAGGGGGGTAGCCCTGGAAATACACGAAGAGAAAAATTGTATTACAAAATATGATTTATCTGAGAGATATCATTCCAAATCTCAATGAAAAATAATATATTTCAAACAGGACTCAAAATGTCACGACTAGCAAATTGTTACAAAAGTGTAACACTTGTTACAAACAGTAACATTTCCACATACAGTTGTTATAATAAAGTAGAACATTCAAATAAAGGACATTCAGCAAAATTTTTAGATCACAAATGCCATCTAAATATCTTTATATTTTGTGAAAATAGCTCATGGAAAAGATAACACACTGTCAACTCTCAGTGATATCATCACCATGGTGATACAAACAATCAAATCGGCAATCAATACAGTGAATATTCCCTACGATTAAAATCTTAAAGTTTGACCTTGGCCTACTGACTAATTTACATTGTATTGAGTACCATAAAAAAGTATATCTATTATAGAAGGATTGTAATAAAATTGATCACTTGAACATATGTGGAAAATGAAATATTGATAACATAGATAAAAAATATGCTGGTTCATAAGCATGAAGACAACAGTACTAAACTATACTGGTTCTTTTTCCCATAATGGCAACATAGGTTGGATATGTATTGAATGATTTCTTAATCTCTATTCACACATAAACATACAATATACAATTAAGACATTTGTTACAGACACCATTTGTAACAGGTGCCAAACTCTGAATGGGAACTGCCCCGCACTGAACACCATCCACAAAAAGTTGGAGACTTAACAATAATAAAAACCATTATTAGTCCTCATCAATGATTTCTCAACTTTTTTCAGGTTATCTGACTTAGTCAACTGTATTTTATGACTCAACAGCAAAAATACAAAATACTCATAAACTTTGCGACTTAACAGGTTCAAAAATGGATTTGACATATTTGAAATTGGAGCATATTTCATTATTTCAACCAACTAGAAGAATATTAGTAATGCTCAGTTTGGTAAATGCATTGAGTACTCCTTTCTACACATTTAGACATAATTTGCATAGATTTTAATTTTAGTGTGAAATTTTGTGAAAGTTCATCACTATGGTAAAGCCAATGTCAAAATCACCAGCCTTTTTCCCTGACCTCTAATTCCGAGATGATTGTTTTAAAACTTGATTATATCAAGAATGCTATCAATTGCCCACAGGTTGTTTACAAGAAGATAGTGAAGACTTTCATATGAATACATAGTAATCTACCAGTCAAACAAACCAGATAAGATAAGACAACTAAATAATGTCCAACAATCTCTACTGCTTGGATTAGGTAAACATGTATAGATGAACTTGATAGAATTAAGACAACTGATATTATAAGTATGAACTTGAAGCTAATGAATTGCTTAGTGCAGTCAAGGCTCGAGCCAATGGCTTGTCAAATGCATGGTCATTGCCAGGTTACTATGGTTTTAAACAAGAAACCCTAGGAGAACACGTTCATTCAAGAGCAGATCTAGACATTGGCAATGTACCTTGGCTTCAGTGTCAAAGTATAGTAAATCAAAAAAATAGTAGATGAGTACAATAATGCGCATACTTGGTTAAAATGTCCCTTTCACATTCTTTATTTCCCATGTAATATATTATACTGTATATTCAAACTTATTTACTCTTATTTTTGTTTACCTTTAAAGGTGAAGGTCAAGCTGACTTAATAAATCATCATCAGGATATGACCTGACACCTGAGGTGGTTGGTGAATTAACAACATTCAAAAATACTCTACCCTTTATCTCCTTTAGCTTGTCACACAACCACTCTCTGAGTATTTCCAAAGAGTTTTAACACTGATATGATCTTAAGGGTCATAAATGGATCCACAATAGCCTTATATGGATATGTGATCTTATGGGTAAAAAGGTATCAAAGCTTTCGCTACGTATTCTATTAATAGAAAGAAAAATCTAGAACTATATCTGATTGAAAGACAGAGGTAAAGCTCTGACACAGGGTGAAGATACTCCACAATTAACTTAACAGAAGCTCCTTTTATTATCAATTTTTCCAGTCATATCAAATTCCATATTCAAACTCGACAGCCTATAATTTGAATGAAATCGTCTTGTTTTGGATGAAATAGTCTTGCATCTAGCCTCTGCCTCCCCCCGCATTCCTACCTCCCATAAAACATTTATCCCTGCCTGTATTAGAGAGAAAATAGGGCAAAAGACAGGGCTTGATGCAAGACTACAATGACAATATTAATATCATGTGATTCAGGGTAAAAACATTATAAGGTGCGATCTGGTGAACTTGTTTTATGGATCATGAGGTCCAAACAAACAATCTATTGACATTACTAAAAAATCAACGGCTCATTTGAACAAATACTCAAGGAACTTCTGCACTTCTTTTCACACAAAATAAACGAGTTTGAACTTAGCAATTTATTTTTCAAACTGTGTATTATTCTCTGTGGGACATTTTGTAAATATACACACATAAATAACAGGTTTTATGAAGTGCTTTGCTTTCACACGCATTTCCATAAAGAGAAACTAAGTACAATTACAATGTTTTAAACAAGTTTTCATGTCAACACGATAATAATTTGACTTGTATATTTGAAAAAACACATTCTATATTTATCAAAAAATAATGATGGTAATGACATTCCACTTTTAACCCCAAGAAATACAACCCTTTTAAAGAATTTAATTCCACATCTAAATAGAGCTTACCAAGAGTGTAGTTGTAAAACTACTGGCCTCTGGGCCGAGGGTAATGTGAGATTAGAAACGTCTCTACATTTCTTGAGCCTTGACTGACTATTTTCTTGCTTCAAGTCTCTGACCCCCCCCCCCCTCCCCCTCCTTATCTACATCAAAACCATTTGTGGTGTGTATAATGGTGGGAGGGGTCACAAGGGCTTGTCTCTAGACTATCAGATTCAATATCAGACATGTGAATAAGTTAAAGTATCCCTTTTATAAATTCCTTACCTTGAAACCAGAACATGATGATATTTCCAAGTTATCCCCTGTATTTATATAATCCTGTTACGACAGATGGGACTAATTCTCCACTCATACACAAACTTCAGCATCTAAGATCACCATTGCATGCAGTCTTAATGAAGAGATCAAGGTGAATCCAAAATATACAGGTAGCACCAGGTATAAGAGTAGCTAGTCTATGTATGTAGTACAACTATCTATATCCTAGCTATCTGTAAGTGATGAGCATGTTTTGGCTCTTTCTAGATATATGAGGTCATATGTCAGATCTTGCCTCTCCAGTTCATGATATCAGCACACACTCCTTGGCTCAAAGTCAATCATAGTAAATGCCTCATGATATAGTACACTCCCCGTAATAAGTATGGTTCAAAATCTTAGTTTATAGTACACTCCCCATAATAAGTATGGCTCAAGATCATATTTTATAGTACAATCCCCACAATAAGTATGGCTCAAAATCATATTTTATAGTACAATCCCCACAATAAGTATGGCAAATAGGTAGCATATCAAAGCCAGTCCTTGTGATATTGTACCTATGGCATACACTAGAATCAAATGAATTAATAAAACATTTCTTCTATTTAAGACTGAGACAAGTCAATATGAATGTTATTCTGTTTCTAATTTAGCATTTTGTCTGCTTGCTGCAATCATAACCAGCTTATTTGTTAATGATGGATGATTTTTACGATTGTCCCATACTTGATCATATCACTAGCTGTGCCCAAAAGACATGCATAGTCATTGGATGCTGTCCAAACTAGTACTTAAATTAAGTGGCTACTAATGCCTTAAAATACTAAGTAACAGTTGGGTAAATATCCCCACGTTTCAAAAACAATCCAGTCTGTAACTGTCCGTGCAATATCTCCGTAACGACTTCATTAATACTTGTTTTATTGCATTATCTATATAACATGGTGTCTTGACAACGTATTGATAACTTTATTTATCAATACTTCCTCTCTATTTTACTACATTTCAAGTTTTAAAAAAGATCAACACAACATTTTACCTGTGGGATATCTACTACAGGTACTCCAGGTATACCTAGCACATAAAAAACACCTAACTTGATTGGATAAGTGTAACCTTTCAGAAAGGACAACTGATAATCATGATTTATGATTAAACATGTGTCTTGACATCTCTAAATTTAAACTTGATAACAAAAAAGCAAATTATGAATAGCTTCTCTAAAATAACAAAAACACCTATCAGGTTTAATTTCATATATAGAGGTTAGGGGTGCAAGGCTGAAAAAATAGAGTTGACTTGAATATATGAAAAAATAAAAATGAAAGTCAACAAAAATGCATCTTTTGATGTTTTTGCAGTTCCTGATTGGAGATAAAGTTCCTGATTGGAGATAAAGTCACTACTCACTTAAAAAACAGTTTCAAAATGACAATATGATCAAAGCAACATAAAGATGGATGTTTCATCATTTTGTTACCATGGTAATGTCAGGGTTGCCACATACCAGTCATGAAAATTTGTATTTTTTCCATAACTCATTCAATTGGTTATTTATCAAAAGCCCTCATTGCAAACCATGCACAAGAAAAAGGGATTGTTTATGGTTAAAAGGTACTTAATAATGAAAGGTTAAAGAGCATATGAAAGAACACATGAAAAGTAAAAGAACACATGAAAGGACATATGAAATCTGAAAGGGCATATGAAAAATTAAAGGGGATGTGAAAGATGATATGAAAAGTGAAAAGTAAAAGGGCATATGAAAAAAGGGTATTTAAAAGAAGAAATGAGAAGTGAAATGGCACATGAGGCCATATGAAGCGTGAAAGTGTAAAAGGGCATATGAAGAGTGAAAGGGTAAAAGGGCATATGAATGGTGAAAGGGCAAATGGAAAAATGTTAAGGGCAAATGAAAGATGAAACTTCAAAGGGTAAGTGAAAAATGAGAGAGTTTATAAAAGATCTACCCACATGTAACAAAATATATAATAAGCCTGAATCTAATCAATCATTTCTAGAGTTACTTTACCCTCCTTGCATGCTGTT